GACATTGCCACCTCACTCAACCAAATGGGGGCAGCCTGGCTCCACCTGGGTGATTGCAGAAAAGCAATCAGCTACCTTGAACAGGCACTGCAGATGCACAGGAGTATCTATGGTCAGACTACAGAACATCCTGATATTGCAAACTCACTCAACCACCTGGGGTTAGCCTGGAGCCACCAGGGTGATTACAGAATGGCAGTCAGCTACCATGAACAGGCACTGCAGATGTACAGGGAAATCTATGGTCAGACTAAAGTACATCCTGGCATTGCTACCTCACACAACAAGCTGGGGTCAGCCTGGGGATAACCTGGGTGATTATCATAAAGCAATCAGCTACCATGAACAGGCACTGCAGATGTGCAGGAGTATCTATGGTCAGGATACACAACATCGTAAAATTGCCGGCACCCTCAACGACCTGGGGTCAGCCTGGGGTAAACTGGGTGATTACAGGAAAGAAATCAGCTACCTTGAACAGGTACTGCAGATGCTCAAGAATATCTATGGTCAGACTAAAGCACATCCTCACATTGGCTCCTCCCTCAACAACATGGGGACAGCCTGGCACCACCTTGGTGATTACAGAAAAGCAATCAGGTACCTTGAACAGGCACTGCAAATGTACAGGAGTATCTATGGTCAGACTAAAGCCCATCCTGTCATTGGATTGTTACTCAACAACCTGGGGGGAACCTGGCTCCACCTGGGTGATTACAGGAAGCTATCAGCTACCTTGAACAGGCACTGCAGATGTACAAGAGCATGTACGGCCAGACTACACCACATCCTGACATTGCCACCTCACTCAGCAACCTGGGGTCAGCATGGGAGAAACTGGGTGATTACAGGAAAGCAATCAGCTACCATGAAAAGGCACTACATATGCGCAGGAGTATCTATGGTCAGACTACAGAACATGCTGTCATTGCCACCTCACTCAACAACCTGGGGTTAGCCTGGTATAACCTGGGTGATCACAGGAAAGCTATCAACTACTATGAACAGGCACTGCAGATGCGCAGGAGTATCTATGGTCAGACTACAGAACATGCTGACATTGCCACCTCACTCAACAACCTGGGGTTAGCCTGGAGCCACCTGGGTGATCACAGCAAAGCTATCAACTACTATGAACAGGCACTGCAGATGCACAGGAGTATCTATGTCCAGACTAAAGCACATCCTGACATTGCCACCTCACTCAACAACCTGGGGTTAGCCTGGCACCACCTGGGTGATTACAGAAAAGCAATCAGCTACCATGAACAGGCGCTGCAGATGTACAGGAGTATCTATGGCCAGACTAAAGCACATCCTGACATTGCTACCTCACTCAACAACCTGGGGGGAGCCTGGGATAACCTGGATTACAGAAAAGGAATCAGCTACTATGAACAGGCACTGCAGATGTACAGGAGTATCTATGGTCAGACTAAAGCACATCCTGACATTGCCAACTCACTTATCAACCTGGGGATGACCTGGAATGACCTCGGTGACCACAGTAAAGCCCTCAGTCTCTGCCAAGAAGCCTTGGCTATGGCAAGACAGGTTTTCCCTCAGGACAAAAATCACCCATTGATAAAGGGGATTGAAAGCAACATCGCCACTATCGGCGCTGCCTGTGAGGATAAGAAATAGAATGTCCCCATGTTCGCATATTCATTCAGAAATATTAATAAATTTCGTTCTGTATCACTCAGGGCAGATGTTATGGACAGTATGTGAAATCCCACCCCGCTCATTTGATGAAGTAGATGGGCAATAGACTGTGTGACCAAGGCTATGCATTCTGTATCAGGACCACCAAAACATGTACATATATTTTATTACTTAACTACTAAACCTCCATGTAGTTCTAATCTACAACAGACACTGCCTCATTACTGTAACCATCTGTCATAAGATTCTACTTCTGAGATTGGAAACATGACTTCTCTATTTGTAACAACTTAATTCTTTGATGTAGTTTTTTTATAAGTAATAAGTAAACGTTCTGTAATTTGTCAAAGTTGATGTGACGCCAAGTTTCCCAACAATAACAAATACCTTACTTTCAGACTCTCCCATACATATACATAGGACAACAATGCAATATTAATTGAGAGTATTATGTATAATACATACATATTGGGCATATATGACACAAGTGTAATGTTAGTCATTACAGTTCACGAGAAATGTCTACTGTTCCATATACTATTCTATATATCATAGTAATCTTGAGATTTTTCAATTTGACAATCATGTAAATAACAAAATACATGTACAACTCATAAGCCTTTATTTAAAGTGCACACTCTGGTCCCACACACGACTCTGTACAGCTTGTTTCAGTGTGAAAAATAATAAACACATCATCTCTATATCATATCAGGCTATGTCATTATACAGAGATTACAAGTATGTACACCAGATATAATGCATTTGCATACAGCAGATTCATTTGTGAACACATATTTTACATCTCTTCTCTATATAAGTTGTATGTAGAAGGTTAAACTTTGAATTTGTTCTCAGAACCTCTCACCCAACAAGATATTTTTACTAACACTTACTAAAGAGATGCAGTACTAACAGGCTGGTGTGGATAGTGTTCAGCACCAAGGACAGGGTAGGTAGCTGTGGTGTGGATAGTGTTCAGTACCAAGGACAGGGTAGGTAGCTGTGGTGTGGATAGTGTTCAGTACCAAGGACAGGGTAGGTAGCTGTGGTGTGGATAGTGTTCAGTACCAAGGACAGGGTAGGTAGCTGTGTGGATAGTGTTCAGCACCAAGGACAGGGTGGGTAGCTGTGGTGTGGATAGTGTTCAGTACCAAGGACAGGGTAGGTAGCTGTGGTGTGGATAGTGTTCAGTACCAAGGACAGGGTAGGAAGATGTGGTGTGGATAGTGTTCAGTACCAAGGACAGGGTAGGAAGATGTGGTGTGGATAGTGTTCAGTACCAAGGACAGGGTAGGTAGCTGTGGTGTGGATAGTGTTCAGTGCTAAGGACAGGGTACTAACAGCCAGAAATCTTTACTTGAAAATAAAGTCATTTAGACTTTTAACTACCAGCAGATGCAATTTTGTGCTAGGGTTTCATCAGCCACTAAACACTGAGTCTAGTTAACCTTCTCCCTGCTGCCTAACCCTGTAACCAGTGCACTCTGCTTGTACATAGAGCACCCTTGGTAGACAGAGGGCTATCTGAAGCCTTTATCCACTGAATACTCCTGACTGAAGCTTGTTGAGAAGTCTGTCCCTCTCGTCTGGTTTCCCATACGCAAGTTCTTTAGTCTCCAAACACTCCAGACTACAGTGTAACATAAACCTTTTCCTGCTGCCTAACCCTGTAACCAGTGCGCAGATGTACCAAAAGCCCTAGCAGTGACAAGGTTATCTGAATAACCGTTAACCACTGAACACTCCAGACAGCAGCCTATTAACCTTTTTCCTGCTGCCTAAACCTGTAACCAATGCACAGCCTGTACCTAAGGATCCCCTAGCAGAGAGAAGGTTATACATGTCTAAAGCAGAGCCTTTAACCACTGAACACTCCCGACTGTAGCTTGTTGAGAAGTTGGTCCCTCTCGTCTGGTTTCCCGTACGCCAGACCCTGGGCCAGCTGGTGGACTTGGACAATGTTGCTGTCTGTACACACAACCTGGGGTGGAATACAAAACAATTATTTACTGTTAAGGCCACAGCAAGTAAATTTTATGGATGACATCCTCCGCAGACTCCAAATCTAATGCGAGGGGGCCCAAAAAAAACAAGGCGGGCCGAAAAAAACAAGGTTCCTACAATTTAGAATTTGACTCAATCATTGTACAAATGGTTTTGATTCAGTAGGAACATCACATATACACAGCCAGCATCACATCAAAGTAAGAAACAAAACATTAAATGAAAGCCTTTTCTTGTCTCCTCTCTTTATAGTTATCTGCCATCCACCTTCCGGCATGGCAACAGACATCTTTGCCCATTTTCGGCATGTTGACCACTGTCAGAAGCCAAAAAAAAGTTCTTGTTTTTTTTCTTTCCAAAATCAGGCGAAAATTAATTCGTGCACGGATGTCATCCATAAAAATTACTCGCTGTGGCCTAAGTTTCACTCAACCCATATCTGCCAAGGCACTACGCTCCCCACAGGAGAGGGAGGGAGACAAAACACAGAGTTATAATATAACTTAACTTCTCCAATATGTTAAGGAGATGTGTAATTAATAAAGTGTAATGTCATCTAGATCCATCTACAACTTTTAGAGTAGATCTGTTCACACAAAGACACACACACACGAACACACACACACACACACACGCACACACAAACACACATTCAAACACACAAACACATTCTCACACACACACACACACACACATGCACACACACACACAAACACACACGCGCACAAACACACACACACACACACACACACATTCACAAACACATGGCACTAAATGGCACCACTACAATACGGTAAACCTTTCTGGTACAAAAACACCAGAGGGATAAAACATCCCTGAGGAATAAGACCTACCATCCTTGGTGCGAACCCCTGAACTCCAGCTGCAGGTCTGGGGGTCCCGGCTAGAGCACAGGTCGTCACTCTGGGGTAGGGAACATCAGGTAAATCAATTCTTTTTATACATTCAACCATGGAGGGTCTTCTACCTCAGATGATTCAAAAACAACCCAAAGGCTACTAAAGGCTAATAAACTTTTGAGTTTGTTAGAAGCTGGTTGAAAGACTGGTTGATGCTGCAGGATGCCAAGCTACTGCAGCAGCAGAATACAGTGGACTACTACTACTACTACATGTTTTCATCCTACAACCCAGGAATGGCAACCTTCTCTTGCGGCTGGTTGTAGGATGGCCGGCAATTAAAAGAACTTGTTAAAAACTCAGTATTAAATCTCCCACCCGCCCGGGGCCTGCACAGGAGGCTATCCTCCTTGAAATTTATAGTATTGATATTAGCATGACAGTCACTGTTTTGTCCCAAATAGTCACTCACTGTCCCCCCTCTGGCAGTTGTTCCGAGATGACCGGACCGCTGTCGTCCTGCAGAAGGTCCCAGACGCGGACTCGGTTCTGGTCCACGGTGTAGAACACGGCGGGGCGACTGCGCGACCAGAGAACACAACATGGCTGCCCGCCTGACGCATCAGCCCATGTCAATACTGGGACTTCTGTAAATACAGGAAACAGTCTTTATTATATATATATAAACACTCTACAGTTTACTACAGATTACTACTGTATACTATAGTCGTCACTCAGTACGGCTGCGCAACTAGAGAACACGACATGGCCGCCCGCTTGCTGTGTCACTCCACACAAGCACTGGGCGTAGGTAACAAGCAAGGAATACTATCACTGTCTTATCATTCCATCTCAGCAATCAAGAGTGAGTGAACACTGTAACAGTAGACTCCCATGTCCTTTTATTATTAGTACTGGTTGTTTCTCAATTAGAGCCATTTGTGATAGTTTTAAGTTCAACATAATCTCATAAAAAGTAAAACTGTACACATATAACTAGACTGAATACCTATGTTACAACAATTCCACTTTAGAACAGTACCTGAATCTGTGTTGTACAATCTCACACTGCCATCACCACAGGCCGCCTGGAGGGAAGGAACTTCAGATTAGACCAGTAGACTCAATCATAAATGGCATTTACTGGACTGTATAGACTTGTAGAACTCATTCAAGTCTTTAGTATTGCTTGTGAGTAATATATTGACTCTAATCTAGTCGTTGGCTAGTCCTATAGATTGCTTATTTGTTTTTCAAAACAGCAAAAACTCCCTTATTTACCCACTTTCTTAACTCCTACAACAGTTTACTCACCAAGAAATAGTCAAACCCAAAAGGGCAGAAATCCATGCCTGACACTTCTGTCACTGTTTCTGTTGGGAAGAGAAGAGAGAAATTAAAACTCAGCAGAAAATACTAGTGACTCTCTGGTAAATAAAAGGAATACTATGTAACAGTAAGACTTAATCAGAATGTTTGAGACATTTTCCCACCTTGCTGAGTTGTGTAGAGTCCAGGCAAGGCTCTGCCCCCGTGTCGCACCATGTGCAAAATGGAACCCTGCAAACAGAAACAAAAACAATCAGGAATCATGCCTAATATAATTTCATTATGATAATCATCACAATTTTGTGATTCTAACAGGTTGTTGTCTGAATTGTTTTTTTTTAATGAATCCTAACTTAGTACGAAACATGCCTGTAGCCAGTATTTTGGTTGGGGGTTCTTTCCACTTTCTGAGGGACCAGTGAGCACCATAGGCACCAGGTACCTACATGTACTATATAGGGGGGTCTGGGGGCTTGAAAAATTTTGAAAATTTAACCTTCTGAAATGGTATTTCCTGCATTTTTGAGAGGAGAACCCCCCCCTGGCTACCAGCATGTATCTAGTACCCGGTATGAATGATGTGACCATAAATGTAACTTGTTAGTAGCCCACCCTGTCAGTGCCAGTATGAAGAAGTGGTTTGGGTCGGTCAGGTGCAGTACCTTACACTGCAGCTAGGTGGTGCTGAATTTAATTTATTACTCTAACAGTAGATATAGTCAGTAGTTAGAGATAAACCCACCGTGTCGGTCCCTATGAAGAAGTGGTTTGGGTCCGTCAGGTGAAGCTGCAGACAGCAGGCAGACATTGGACTGGACTGGCTCACTTTCCTGGGGGGGGGGGGATGTAGAAACATTTCAACAATAAAATGTTTGTAACACTGTGATCACGATACAAGCTTCGCATCAGTGTATTAATTGGTTTCCCAATTAACCAGTAATACTCTGTTTTTGTACAATTTACTAGATATTTTTTAAAAACACTGCCTACATTTGTAGTCGTATCTTTCCTTACACATTGTAGATGAAACACACTATATAAAAGGAATGTATGGCAAGACTGAAATTTGTTTGCCTTTGATACGGAGAAAACAGTTATTAAGAAAAGCTTTACCTTGAGAGTTTCTGGAGGTTGAAGGAGGAACTTTTGACAATCTTGATGAGACCACCTGGTGTGAGACCTACGCAAGACACAAGGTCAAAGTCAAGGTTATATAGACCACTGTATACAGCCACATTCCGACTGCTATCGATCTTTCTATAAAGAAGTTTTAAAACTAGACGTACATAATATATTATACACACATGTATGTTGAGCATGGATGGAGTTATATTGTCTTACCCAGGTCAGTTTCTGAGGCATCCAGGCTTGATCTGGACACTTCTATCACAGTCTGAAATAACAAGAGATTCACAGGGTCAAGTTTCAGTGCGTTTTGGCATCAGATAGTATAGAGCCTTTCCTCAGAGTACAGTGAACTTCAGTGCTAAATTGCTCAGCTGAAATAACTGCCATTGGATGTAACACTGCACAGTATGATAGATACCACTTATATTCTGTAGAATATATTAGCCTTCAGGCATGAACTTGCAATAAAGCTATTATTATATACTACTTGGGGCCACGTCATCAGAGAGGTTTTCAATAAATACAAGGCTTATAATTTAAGGCTGCAACTTGCAACAGCACCAGTTACCAAGGTGACAGACATCTGGTCCAGGTCATTGACCTTATGTGTTTGAAGAAGAAGAAGAAACAGAGCAAAAACAACCTGTTCTCCTATGGTGAAGGTAAAAATATAAATAAATAGGTACCCAGAAGATGATGGCTCCGCCCTCGTCCATGGAGGCCAGCTGGAAGGACAGACCTCCGCCTGGGGCAAAGGTCAAGGTCAAGTAGGGTCAAATTGACGAACTTCAACTCTCATTTATTATGCACAAATTCATGCAAATCATTCTGATAAAAAGGCAAACATAAGATTATAAAAAACTAATATGTACAATAGTCTTCTCTTCACATCATATTGAGGCATTTTGAAAAAAATAAAAAAATGGACTCAAAGTTAACACTTGAGCCACACCAATTTATTTTCTTGGTTAACGGATTTTTGTAGAAAAAAAATGGAGCGGGCGGGCGAAAAAAAAATAAAAATAAAAATTTGATACTACCTGCCATACAGCCATGTACTGTGAAATCCAGACTGCTTATTAAGTTACGAAAATACTGGGAAAGAAACAAAAGACAAGAGAGGATGTACTGTGTTGTGTTTTTTATTTGCTATCCACACCATTGGGTTGATAATCTTTTTCGTACACGAGCAAAATGCAGAAAACAAGTTTTAGCATGTTACTTCCAAGTTCCACCATCATCATATGTACTCTAAAACATGACACGAATGTTAACTCTCACAAGCAATTTCATAGTCACAACAACTTTAAAGGGGACAAAATTTATTCAATTTTACATGTACTGTACCTAGATTCTGCCTTGATCCAAAGTTCCAGCTTTCTCAAACAATTAAGCTTCCGCCACAATTTTGTCCGCCATGCAGAAGAACAAAACAAATGACTGAGCCAACATGGTTCCAGAACATCGCATCTGATTGGTCAGAAAGTAAAACAATCCACGATTGGCTACTTTACGTCATGTGACTATGTGTGCAGGAGCGCCTCTAGCGACATTGGTATGAACTGCAGCAATTTCATTGAGGTCTCCCTGTTCAGGGTATTACCGGCCTGTGGGGTCTGAACTATGACGTTTTTTATTTTTATTTTCATTCGGCAAAAAAAGCAAGCGGCGAATCCGTTAACCAAGGAAATAAATTGGTGTGGCCTTGTCTATCTTTTTTTAAAGACCAAATTTTTTTTTTTTCAGTGAAAACTGAACATGTCTTCTTACTGTGGGCTGTCTGCATTTTCTCTGCGGAGACTGCAGCCCGATGGCTTTCCTCCACAGACACGACAGGAACCAGCGAGTTCACAGGGCCATGGTGGTTATCACTGCCTAATACACCATCTGTAATCAATCAATCAATCAATCAATCAATCAATCAATCAAATAACCTAGACATTGACATCATGTAGTCTCATTTTTGCTTCCCATTCTTTTTCCTGTACTGGTATTACATACTACATGCAATGGCCAAACCTTTGTCCTGTATTCACAATGTACTTTATTGCTGCCAGGTACCCCACCCCTAGCCTGGGTGCAATCCTCCGTAGTTTTCGCCCGCTCCCTAATGTCACTGGGGTAGCCTGGGTGACATTAAGGAGTGGGCGAAAACTACGGATGGCACTCAGGCCACCCCACCCCTAAGTTGGAAAATCAGTTGGTTCAGACCAATAATAAGGTTGGGGTGTTTAATTGACTGCACTAATTTAAAAGAAACGATAATTGATCGCTGCACCCACCTGTTGTGTAAGTAGGAGATCTGATGAGCCACTCCTCCTGCCCAACCTTGTACACAAAGTGCATGGAGGACAGTTCTCGTAGGTCCCACACTACCACTGAGCCATGGTTCTGGAATACAACAATCATGAAATAACTATAGGTGAGATGGTTTTTGATAAAAAAAGCTCTTTTTCAACAGGATGTAAGTACAGCTGATGGCACCTACTAGAGAGTACTAAATCAAACTATACTATCTATTAGCCTTCAGTGCAATGAACAGTAACAGATAACAAACTCACTGTGCCAGCAAAGGCCAGAGTAGGTCTGGTGGGACTGAAACAGCAGCAGGTGGGAGTTCCCTCACACATCAGCACTCTGGACAACAACAACATCAACAACATTATATCAACAACAACATCTAAGGCCTGGTGGGACTGAAACAGCAACAGGTAGGAGTTCCCTCACACATCAGCACTCTGGACAACAACAACATCAACAACTGTTATAACAAGAACAACAATAATAACAACAACAACAATAATAACAATAACAACAACATCTACATCTAAGGTCTGGTGGGACTGAAACAGCAACAGGTGGGAGTTCCTTCACACATCAGCACCCTGGGAGGGGTAACAACATCCAGGTAAGGCTTAAATTCCTACTACATACGGTACAACCCACCTTCACACATCTGATCAGTATATCTTCATTATAATAACAAGCAAGAACACAAATCACAAGTCTGCAACTGAGCTCAGCAGCAATTCAGAAAGCTTTTAGTAGCAGCTCAAAAACCTTTTAAGAACCAAACATACTGATGTGCAGAGGCTAAACTAATCAGTTGCTACTATGTGTATAATCATGGAGTACTGACCAAGTATAACGCTGTGCTACACCATGAGGTTGTGTAATGGTTATACTTCAATAGAAACATGGGTAAATCTTCATCCTTACTTCTGTATCCTGGAGGGTTCTGTGATGTTCCACAGGCACACCAGGCCACGCCTAGCAACTGTTGCCGGGACATTCCCACTGGAGCCCTGGGGGGGGGGGCGAGTGGGAGAAAGTGAATTTCAATGACTACATTAATGATGATGGATATCAATATCTTTAAAAAATCTCAATCTCAGTGTTACAATTTTCCCCACTATGTTCAACGTGGTACATGAAGGTACATGTCTAAGCGACAGGTCTCCCATAGGAGTTTCTTTACAAAGCTGACTGACCTCAGGGGGTAGGCTGAAGGCCAGTAGCAGCAGTTGAGGCTGGGTGGGTCAAGGTTAGGGTTAGGGGTCAGGGGTTAAGGTTAAAGGTGACTGACCTGAGCAGGTAGACTGAAGGCCAGAAGCAGCAGTTGAGGCTGGGTGGGGGAGAAACTCGCACTCACAACATGCCGACCTGAAACACAACAACACATTTACTAACATTAACCTTTAGCACACTTAAGTAACCATTTGGCTACCAGATCTCTATTGGTTAAAGGTAGCAGGGAGATGGCTAAGACAAAAATTTGGTCATACAACTTCTCCTTGAAGTAAGTGTAGAAAGAGGTAAAATATGTTAGGGCTGGGTAGGACAGCAGCTCAAGTTTACAATGCTCCTTTCATTCATACAGTCACATGTATCATTATACAGTATTGACATAATTTTGTTTGGCTGTAATCATCCTATTTTGCTGCCCTCCATATAACCCTTGAGGGAGTATGGATGGATCATAATAATCCCCATGATCATAGTCCAAGACAAATTGCATCAGCCATTGTGTACATTTGATCACTCCATACCTAAACTTCAGAGGACAGAGTGACCAAAGGTGTAAACACATGAGGTAATGATCAACCTTTGTCATCAGCTGTATATTTACCTACAGTCATGAGACTAACTGCTGACTCTACCAAATGTGTGAACGTATGGGAAGCCCCTGGGTATATTTCAGGAGGCATACAAAAATGGCTTGAACTTTCTCTTGATATAAAAATGTGTAAAACAGCATGAAAGTTTACCCGTGCTGATGGTAGAGTTCATTTATCAGGGATGAATTATGAACTATTACAACTAGTGATTTGTTCATTTGTCTTGAAATACTTAAATCACTAATATATTCGCGGTAGCAAAATTTTGCTTAGAAAAATGGACATATTTGTGGATTTAACATTTGCGGTGGCAGCAAGTGCAGCAGACAGAAAGTTGGTGAATTGTTTGCGGTAATGATAAATTTGCAGAAAGGAAGTGACCACAACAACCTAGAAATTAGAATATAAAAGAACCACGAAATGTAGAGTGATTTACAGTAACTGTTGCTGTACAAAATGTTTAATTTGTACAGACAGCATTTTGTTAATTGTGTCTTACATTTGAAATTTCATCAGTTTTTATAAAATATGTGATGCATGTCAATACAAGTTCAACATGTACACTTGACTTGGATAGTGTAATGTAAAATAGACCCATTCGACTTTCATGGATCACATAAACTACTTAATATGTCACATGGGGGACATTTCGAAAGAATGTCGCTCTAGAACGCTGAAGTCGAACACGGCTTGCGCTCGCGGTGTCCCCCCTGGCAGATCATTTTTTTAGTAAAAGGCAGGTGTCTATTTTCTCGGTAATATATGCAGAAATGACAGGAAATCAGGCAACAACTTTGTATGGTGGCATTCCGTACAGCAATTTAAGGTTATTTTGTTCTGTGACGTATGCAGTTTCTGCGATCCGTGAAAGGAACTTTTGAAATGTCCCCCATGTGACGTAGTTTCTATTCGAAATGTCCCCCCTGTGACGTATGCAGTTTCTGCGATCCGTGAAAGGAACTTTTGAAATGTTCCCCCTGTGACGTAGTTTCTACTCAGTATACAAAATGTCCCCCCTGTGACGTAAGCAGTTTATGCGATCCATGAAAGTCAAATGGGTCTATTGTCCATTATGTTCTATACTGTACATGTTTGTGGGGACATCATTTTGTGGTAGGTTTTTGCAGTGTTTTATTAGTTGACATGATAGAAAAAATTCAGTAGAAATTGCATATTTGCAGTGTCATGCATGAGTTTACAGTCACTGTGGAAGTCAATAAAGATCATATATTGACCCCACACTTACAAACACTTAGTGACCTTTATCCCCAACGTAAAGTCCCGTATGAGATACAAAAATAACATATCTGGGATTTCCAACACTCTCGCTAGTATAGCTATATAAGCACTGTTCAGGCAAATCTCCCCAGATAGCGGCCAGACACCTCATCAGTGCAGGTCAGAAACAGACAGTGCATGTGGAAGGTAAAAACTTGGATTAACTTCTGTTATGCTCTTAACTTCACATAACACTTACTAATAAGCGATCCTATATTTTTTTCCATGCTTTTTTTTACAGAACCTGGCCTATACTGTAGGTACAGTCATGTATGTCTGTTTAAAGGGGTCCTAAAGTCCTGAAGGGAGTGCTTCCAACAGACATTAATTTTGGAAGTAAAAAAAAAAGTGGGTGGGGTCCTGTGGCGTATTCACTACTGATGTAAATGGGTCATGTGGCATAACGGCAGTGCTTGGCTTGGAACTAGCAAGAGGTCCCGAGTTCCAGTCCTGACATACCACCGATCTTGTGCCCTTGGGAAAGGCACTTTACACGACTTTTCTCACTGAACTTGAGTGAAAATGAGTATTGTTCCATGTCTGGGACACAACACCAGCAACAGCTGCCTGTGTCCCACACAAACACACAGCACAATCTATTGGAAAATAGCACTCCCTTCTGGACTTTAGGACTCCTTTAATTAGTTCTTTCCTTTGGTTCATATGTAGCGATTGGTGGAAAGTTAAATTGGGTGAATTGCTGCGCTAGCGAGCAGGATCAGTCCCGGCGCAACATAAAACAGCCGATGTGAGAGTGGCCAGCATAGCAACATCACTAACTGTGAGATCATGTAACATGCGCCCCTTTGTTGAGTTTGAAAAATCATGTTCCTGACTGTTGCATGGCCAGTGGCTGTGGGAAGACTAAGTAGATCACACACGGTGACACCAATTGCTACCTCAGCTTAGAAATAAGTTGCACCTGGTCCAAGCAAAATATTCTTGCACTTCGCAAGTGCGCAAGCTGGTATTTAGGCATGCTGCATGTATCAAAGAGATAGGAAGAGAGAGGCCAAACAAGCTAAGGCTGTATGGCAGTTGTTTACAGCAAAACGTTAACGTTATATTGACCTGTTTGATCACATATAAGTCACAAGACTACATCCCAAACAACACTACCAGTAGTTTCTTAGTATTGACAGAGCTATGTAAACAAGGTTTGGCAACAACAAAAACCCATATCTTGTATCTTGGTGTGTTAACATCACTGGTAAGGCCAAAGCTCAGGTGTTACACCGGAGGGCGGTTATACTGCAATCAAATGTGCAAAGATTGAGTGTAACAAGTCGTTCAGTGTGATATAGCTAGCTGCCGCCACGCCGCGTGCCTGCGAAGCTGGTGTGTTACGCTGAAGGGCGGTTATACCGGCTATACAGATACAGAAGCTGGTGTGTTATGCCGAAGGGCGGTTATACCGACTATACAGATACAGAAGGTGGTGTGTTACGCCGAAGGGCGGTTATACCGGCTATACAGATACAGAAGCTGGTGTGTTATGCCAAAGGGCGGTTATACCGATACAGATACTGGCTAATATACAGAATAACAGCTGACTGAGACATAAGGAAAAACCCAGAATGCTCACCAGTACAGGTAGAAACAGACTCTATCCCGACAGGTTCACAGACCCATAGGTCTATCTCTGTTCAACCTACATGTAACATGTTACAGATCTTGATAATTTGAGCATTTTGTGTCTTACATTTGAAATTTCATCAGTTTTCATAAAATATGTGATGCATGTCAATACAAGTTCAACATGTACACTTGACTTGGAGAGTGTCATGTAAAATTGTTCCGTTATGTTCTATACTGTAAATTTGATCATTTTCGTGGGGACGTAATTTTGTGGTAGGTTTTTGCAGTGTTTTTATCAGTTGACATGATAGAACAATTCATTAGACATGTACTGACTCAGAGTAATACATTGGAAATGCATATTCAGTGTCATGCATGAGTTAACACTGTGCAGAGGTCAGAAAACAGCAAAAATTCCCCTAAAACGTGACCTTTATCCCCAGGTGCACGTGATGCAGACGTAAAGTCCCGGAGACACAAAAATATCGAAGATATGAATCATCGGGGGATTTCCAACACTCTCGCTTGTATAGCTATATAAGTACTGGGAGAACCTCTGTTCAGGCAGATCTCCCCAGGCACCTCACCAGTGCAGGTCAGAAACAGACAGTGCATGTGGAAGGTAAAAACTTGGATTAACTTCTGTTATGCTTTTAACTTCACATAACACTTACTAATAAGCGATCCTATATTTTTTCCATGCTTTTAGACAGAACCTGGCCTATACGTACAGTCATGTATGTCTGTTTAAAGGGGTCCTAAAGTCCAGAAGGGTCTCAGTGCTTCCGACATTAATTTTGGAAGTAAAAATATGTGGGTGGGGTCCTGTGGCGTATTTACTAAGTGGGCCATGTGGCATAACGGCAGTGCTTGGCTTGGAACTACCAAGAGGTCCCGGGTTCGAGTCCTGCCATGCCAGCGATCTTGTGCCCTTGGGAAAAGCACTTTACACGACTTTTCTCACTGAACTCAAGTGAAAATGAGTATTGTTCCATGTGGGGGACACAACACCAGCAACAGCTGCCTTTGTTCCCCACACACAGCACAATCTATCGGAAAATAGCACTCCCTTCTGGACTTTAGGACTCCTTTAATTAGTTCTTTCCTTTGGTTCATATGTAGCGATTGGTGGAAAGTTAATTGGGTTTGCTGCGCTAGCGAGCAGGACCAGTCCCGGTGCAACATAAAAGAGCCGATGTGAGAGTGGCCGGCATAGCGACATCACTAACTTTGAGATCATGTAACATGCGCCCCTTTTGCAGTTTTGCAAAATCATGTTCCTGACTGTTGCATGGCCAGTGGCTGTGGGAAGACTTGTAAATCGCACACCTGGCTGAGGGAACACTAAGATTACACACAGCGCTACCTCAGCTTAGAAATAAGTTGCACCTGGTCAAAGCAAAATTTCTTGCACTGCGCAAGCTGGTATTTAGGCATGCTGCATGTATCAAAGAGAGAGAGGCCAAACAAGCTAAGGCTGTATGGCAGTTGTTTACAGCAAAATGCTATTATATTAACGTTATTGACCTGTTTGATCACATATAAGTCACAAGACAACTTACGTATTAGTAAGTAACTACATCCCAAACAGCACCACCAGTAGTTTCTTAGTATTGACAGAGCTACATGTATGTAAACAAGGTTTGGCAACAACAAAACCCCACTTGGTGTGTTAACATCACTGGTAAGGCCAAAGCTCAGGTGTTACACCGAAGGGTGGTTATACTGCAATCAAATGTGCAAAGATTGAGTGCCGCCGTTCCGCGTGCCTGCAAAGCTAGACGTGTTATGCCAAAGGGCGGTTATACCGGCTATACCGATACAGAAGCTGGTGTGTTATACCGAAGGGCGGTTATACCGGCTATACCGATACAGATACTGGCTAATATACAGAATAACAGCTGACTGAGGCTTAGGGAAAACCCAGAACACACACCAGTACAGGTAGAAACATACTCTACCCCAGCAGGTTCACAGACCTATAGGTCTATCTCTGTTCAACCAACATGTAACATGTTACAGAGGTTCCCAAAAAGTTGCCGGTTGATAGCTATATATATATATATATATTGCGTTTAAACAGAGCACAAGCACTGCGCGTGTTTGATAATTCACATTGCTAATGTGGCCAGAATAACCAAGCTCAAGTACTAAGGCCTCGTTCATGATTCAAATGTGTTCCGGTTTGGCCACGATCCGAATCGAAACGGAATATATTTTTGGGTCCGTGATTCAAAACTTGAACCCACACTGGAAACGGTTTCACACCTCAAATTGACTTGCATTTTATATGTATATCACAATTTCTTTGAACATTTCCTGGGAACCCGGCTCGTAAGGCGGAGAGTTCACGCCTGTTCGGGCGAGTTGTGGGAAAAGGACTCGCCCGAAAAAAACATGTATCACAGTCATAATTCTAGAATTTTATTCACATCATATTAGCTCAATATGACACTATCAAACTTTGCTTTTTTTTGCCACGAAGTCCAAACTTCAGTGGTTTCATCGGTGCAAAACATTTGTGATGACTTGGCGCGCCCCTAATATAACACAACAGCAGATATCCAATCATGAACGGGGCCTAAGTGAAAACCAAAGGTTGTTATAATTAGTTTTTCTTTAAGTTGAAGGAGGGTTTAAATATGCCACGTTTTGTTGCCCTAAGCTAATCAGAGTGAATTATTCTGATAGGTTACCTTCAGTTATATCCAGTTAAATATACTTTAAGGCTATTTGTATTTGTGTAAGACGTCCTGCGGGAGATTGCAACTTTTTGCTGAAGAGTGTTGTTACAGTGTACACTGGAAATGCCACTGTGAAACTTTTTACATGTAAAAGAAATCTTTCACAAGATTGTGGTCGTTAATGGGCAGCCTTGGTATTCTGAGATTTACATGACACTTATTCCACCTCATTTTCACGTATTTGTTGACAATTTGTGGACAATACGGGGGATTATCAGCACAGCGGGTCCATGCAGTCTCGGCCGTGGGCGATTGATGTTTAGTATTTGAAACTCTTGAAAACTATTTGAAAACTTGAGTTTGTAACCAGGTCCTCCTAAATGGTTTATTCAGATTTGTGTGATTCCAATAAACAGCTCAAATAACTATGTACTAGTTGGAAAAATGATAGTTGCATGGGTGTAGTTGTCTGTGTCTGATTTATCAAAAATCCAATGCTAAAACGGCCAGACATTTTGCTCTTCTCAACATCCCGCGACTAAACAAACATGGTCTATATCATTAAGTAAGTTGTGTTATATTAGGGGCGCGCCAAGTCATCACAAATTTTTTGCACCGATGAAACCACTGAAGTTTGGACTTCGTGGCAAAAAAAAGCAAAGTTTGATATTGTCATATTGAGCTAATATGTTGTGAATAAAATTCTAGAATTATGACTGTGATACATGTTTTTTTCGGGCGAGTCCTTTTCCCACGGTGCAGCTGCACGTACATTTTCTTGATTGACAGGCCTTTATGTGCTTTATGTGCTTTATTAACTCCATTAGCGACACACAAGACTTTGAAGTTGCCCCCTTGCTGCCGGCAGTGCCAAAGTGTCTAGCTAGACAGCTCCAATCAGATTTGCCCATCTTCGTTACAAACACGATCTTGGATAATGTGGCCTAGTTGACTGTTTACTTTCTTATTAGGAGCCTTCTAAAAATACTGCGGGCCTGGTGTAACTTATGCTTGTGCTACGCTGAGTCGCTGGAAAAGTGAAATAGCGACGCTTATGTGTTGAAACTTATTGAAAACAGTTATACCGGCTATACAGTACCCTGAGACTGAAAATAATCCCTGAGGTTTGTATACGTACACTACACAAAAGGCATTCCTGAGAAGGGTAGTTTTAGAGTACCTGGCAGTACAAAACGTGAGAGTACATAAGAGTTGATGTTACATGTCGATGTGTGTAAAAATGTTGATCAAACCTTGCAGCAAACATCACTGAGTGACAACAAAGACCATCATCCTTAACTTCACCCCGTGTGCAAGATGGGGAACAAATTAAGAACAAGTAGAAGCCAAGAGACTGAAGATAAACAACCTGTTATCATTGAACTTCAAGACATATCAAGGTGGGGCAGATCGCTACTAACTTTGAAAAGTTGAAAAAATTGTAGCCTGGATGCCAGCCATTTTATTTTTTTAAAACTATATATATAATAAAAGACTGGACACACACATATTCTATTGGTCTGGTGATGATGTCATGTAATTTATAAAGATTCTGAACTAATTTTAAATTAAATACAACTGCTGTGGTTCGGCGGGGCCTCTGCTGAATGGATGACCACCAAGGATTAGCTAACGCAGTGCCCCTGTTCAAATTCAAATATTCAAATGACAGATGGATGACATGTGCAGGCCCAGGTTTTAGGTAGGGAAGCAAAAGACTTGCATCCAGCTATAAAAATGTAATGATTGACTGTCAGTAACTTTTTACAATGCTGCCAATTGCAAGATTTAAATTTATTCAATATGATATTAGTTTCTATGTCTTATGTTTGAATTATTGATATGTACATCAGAAATATTCCTTAAAGTTTGGGGCCATGAAAATCTCCCTATTAAAATTGTAACGAACCAAATGACTTATTTCTAGTCAGTACACAGACCACCTTAAGGAAGGAGACTCCTCCCTTGCCAGGGGAGACCTGGACTCAGCAGAGCAGCACTTTGCAGCTGCACTCAAGACAGTACATGTGGAAGGTAAAAACTTGCGCAAAATTTTGGAATGCTTGTAAGTTCACATAAAGATAATACTATAGCAGGGCTCGAAATATTTTACTTGGGCCACACCAATTTAATTTGTTGGTTCTCGGATTTGCCTCTTCGTTTTTTCTGATTTGCAAAAAAAAAAAAATTTGATTCTGGTCCTGAATCAACTGAAAAATGCTCATGTTTTGCCCCCCAACAGTTGAGGAAAGTCCTTTTCTTCCTAGTTGTTACAGTTTTCCCATAGTGGTTTGATTAAAAGTTCAAAATTTAATGTTTAAATTTTAACCCAGCCTGTTGTGTTGACTTCATGGCTCATTTTGTAGCATTTAAGCCTATAATAGGATGCCTAGACCTGTTTTTATTTTAATTTTTTTTCGCCCTGTCGCTTCATATTTTTTCTGAAAAAATCTGAGAACCAACAAATTAAATTGGTGTGGCCTTGCTGATGTTTTATACCTTTTTAAACACTTCTGGATATTTTGTGATCGATGGCGCATTTCAGGTCATATTGATCTACTTGACGTGTACCTGCCATGCCATTGGAAATAAAATCTGAAATACTGGGGGCATGTGCACCTTAGTGCACCCAAATTTGGAGCTGTGCATCCAATTTTTTTTGTGGGTGCACCTGTGCACCCAAACAGGTTTACAAGATGTTAACTGTACTAACATCTTGTTCTTAGCATCTACGTGTCAGAAAAAAAATGAAATACTGTCTACCTTTTTTTAGAAATGAAACATAATTAGCTTTTGCTGACATTCTACATTTAATAATATTTTATTTCACCAAAATAGAACATTACTCTAAACAATTTGGTTACCTGTATATGTGTACCGGTCTCACATCAAGTTTTTAATTTGGAATCCCAGACCCGACAGCCCAGCAGTACCAGAGAGAGGTGGAGCCCCTGTGCAAGTTGGGGGATGTCTACAGTAAGCAAGGTCAGCAGACAGGAGACGGGGGAGACTTTGTCAAAGCAGCAGCACTCTACAATGCAGCAATACCCAGGTCAGAGGATCAAGTCCTCAATGGTAACATAGAAATAGCTATCAAAGAGGTAGAGAACTCATTTCTCATATATATCTTAGGCATTAATACGAATAATAGAAATGTTAGCCAAGATGACACAGAAAAACACAAGAAAAAGCTGAAGAAGATGCGGGACCAGATCAAGCTGAAGATGGAAACCATTGACCAGCAACTGGATCCCTATGTACAAGAGGATGACCCATGTGTCAGAGAGATAGAGGCAAAACGAGCTCAGGCTGTCAGGCAGTTGTTTGAGAACATTGCACAACAAAGGAAGGAGTTCATCAGTCTGCTTGTAGAAGAGTGTATTGGGTTAATGGGTCCCCCTCCCTGTAAGTATGCCCTGATAGGTTTGGGTTCACAGGCCACAGGACTGGTAACTCCATACTCAGACCTGGAGTTTGCCATCTTGGTAGAAAAAGAAAGTGAAGAATGTCTTGTGTATTTCCGTAACATCACCCACTATCTACACCTCAAGGTGGTCAACCTGGGAGAAACCATTCTCCCAGCACTGGGAATAAAATCTCTCAATAACTTCTACTCTGAGAACCCACTTGAAAACTGGTACTATGACTCTGTTACACCTCGTGGGTTTGCATTTGATGGCTCCATGCCAAAGGCAAGCAAGACTCCACTGGGCAGGCAGGGAACTAAGAACAAACCACCCAGTGAACTCATCTGCACCCCGAAGAACATGGTCAAAATACTTCAGAATGATGTCACACTATACCTGACGAAAGGATATCACCTTGCCACTATCTTGAGAAACCCATGCCTGATAGCAGGGAACCAGGATTTGATTGACACGTACATGGACATCACAGAGAAGATACTGCAAGCTGATGGGGGCAAAATGGCTCAACAACTGGCACAGAAGACACTAAGGGAAAACATGGAAAGCTACAGTAATGATACAGTTTCAGCAAGGCTAATTGATGTTAAGAAAGAGATCTATCGCTTCCCAGCTGTAGCAGTGGACTGCTTGGCACTGTCTAAAGGCATCATACCTACCACAGTTTGGGAGACAATAGAAGAAATGGAAAACCGACAAGTGATCAGTTCCGACAATGCACACCACCTGACAGTGCTTACCAGCATCTCGGCAGAACTCAGGCTCAGAACCTACATCGCAAATGGTGGACAGAAGGAAAACCTGTCAGCTATGGCCTCAGTTGAAACAGAACAGCAAGGACAGGAATCATCTCTACAGACCAATGCACAAAATAATGATAAAGAACAACTACACAGACTGAAAGAAGTCTTTCATCTACCAAATGAGAAACAGCTTTTTCGGTACTGTTATACGGCAGTTCCTTTGAGGAGAGCATTGTGTGAATGGTCTGGACCCGTAATTAGTAATAGTGGTATAAAGGAATTAGTTCTACATACACTCAATAATATCTCTAACTGTTGGTTTTCTGGGGAGCAGCCAGCCTTTGATGGTCAGTCTCTTCTCTATGATAGTTCACCAAGTGTAAAAGGTAAGATGTACATGGAGCTATGCCAATATTGCCTGGCTATTGACTGCTATGACAAGGCCCTGAAAGGAGTAGATGTAGCTGACACTGAGAAAATAGAGCTGCTTCTCTACAAAGGACTCTGTTGTTTCCACATGGGTGATCACCAAACAGCAATAAGCTGCTGTGATCAGGCACTGGATAGGTGCAGAGGCATCCATACTGATAATCAGGAACATCCCAGGATTGCTGTGTTACACAACAATCTGGGGGCAGCCTGGGGTGACTGGGGTGATCAAACGAAAGCCATTAGTTATCATGAACAGACACTGCAGATGTACAGGAGTATCTATGGTGAGGGTACACCACATACTCTCATTGCCACCTTACTCAACAACCTGGGCATGGCTAAGGATGATCACAAAAAAGCAATCAGCTACTTTAAGCAGGCACTGCAGATGCACAAGCGTATCTATGGTCAGTCTAAACCACATCCTGAAATTGCCAAGTCACTTAACAACCTGGGGTTAGCCTTGCGCCACCGGGGTGATTACAGAAAAGCAATCAGCTACCATGAACAGGCACTGCAGATGTACAGGTGTGCCTATGGTCCACTAACAGCACATCCTGACATTGCCACCTCACTCAACAGCCTGGGGGAAGCATGGAGTCACCTGGGTGATTACAGAAAAGCACTCAGCTACTTTCAACTAGCACTGCAGATGGACAGGAGTATCTATGGTCAGGATAAAGAACATCCTGACATTGCCTCCTCTCTCAACAACCTGGGGACAGCGTGGTATAACCTGGGTGATCCCAAAAAAGCAATCAGCTACCATGAACAGGCACTGCGGATGTACAAGAGTATCTATGGTCAGACCAAAGCACATTTTGACATTGCTACCTCACTCGACAACCTGGGGTTAGCCCAAGAGAAACAGGAAGAACATAAAAAAGCAATCAGCTACCATGAACAGGCACTGCAGATGTACAGAATTATCTATGGTCAGACTAACAGACATCCTGGCATTGCTCGCTCACTCTACAACCTGGGGACAGCATTGAGTAGCCAGGGTGATCACAAGAAAGCAGAAGAGTACTTTACACAAGCACTGCAGATGTGGACCATTATCCATGGTCAAAATAAAGCAAACACTGACACTGCCATCACACTCAGCAGCCTGGCGACAGGCTGGGAGAAACTGGGTGATTTCAACTTAGCAATCACCTACTATGAAGAGGCACTGCAGATGAGGACAACAATTCATGGTCAGACACATCCTGCCATTGCAACCTTACTCAACAACCTGGGGGGAGCCAGGCACAACCTGGGTGATTACAGGAAAGCAGTCAGCTACCATAAACAGGCACTGCAGATGCGCAAGAGTATCTACGGTCAGGGTACAGAACATCCAGACATTGCTGAATCACTGAACAACCTGGGGTTAGCCTGGGGTAAACTGGGTGATGACAAAAATTCAATCAGCTACCATGAACAGGCACTGCAGATGCGCAGGAGTATCTTTGGTCAGACTGCAGAACATCCTGACATTGCCATCTCACTCAACAATCTCGGGTCAGCTTGGGAGAAACAGGGTGATCACAGGAAAGCAATCAGCTACCTTGAACAGGCACTAAAGATACGCAAGAGTATCTATGGTCAGCATACAGCACACCCTGACATTGCCATCTCACTCAACAACCTGGGGCAAGCCTTGTATAACGTGGGTGAACCCAGAAAAGCATGTCCTTTCCATGAAGAGGCACTAAAGATGTACCAGAGCATCCATGGTCAGACTGAAGCACACCCTGACACTGCAAACTCACACAACAACCTGGGGAGGGTCTGGCACGACCTGTGTGATTACAAGAAAGCAATCAGTTACCATGAACAGGCACTGCAGATGTACAGGGATATCTATGGTGAGACTAAAGCACATCCTGAAATTGCTAGGTCACTCAACAGCCTGGGGTCAGCCTGGGAGAAACTGGGTGATTACAGAAAAGCAATCAAGTACATTGAACGGGAACTGGAGATGTTGAAGGCTATATATGGTCAAAACAAAGCACACCGTGACATTGCCCACTCACTCAACAACCTGGGGTCAGCCTTGGATAACCTGGGTGAGCACAGAAAGGCAATCAGCTACCTTGAACAGGCCCTGAAGATGTACAAAAGTATTTCTGGTCAGCATCCTGATATTGCCACCTCATTCAACAACCTGGGGTCAGCATATGCAAAACTGGATGACTACAAGAAAGGAATCAGCTATCATGAACAGGCACTACAGATGCTCAGAAGTATCTATGGTCAGGGTACAAAACATCCTGAGATTGCCAGCACGATCAACATGCTGGGAATGGCCAAGAAAAAACATGGTGATCACCAGCTCAGAACGGCTCTCAGTGACTGTGAAGAAGCCTTGGCTATGGAAAGGCAGCTTCACCCTCAGGAACCAAATCATCCAAGGATAACAGAATTGGAAAGGAACATTACTGGGATCACTGCACAACTTGCGGCTTTCCCTGTCCAGTAATCTCTTCAACTTCAATTACAAATACATGCATTTTAGATTTGTCATACCCGGTCCATATAGAACAAGCTTTTCTTTATTTGGATTTACCAGAAGATGGACAGGGAGACATAACAGGTTATTACTCTTTTTACGTCGATGAAGGTTAGACATCCAGGTAATATGATACGCCAAAAAGCAGTTGCTCAAGCAACTGGATATGATTTTGGAACGTCAGACGTTTCAGCTAGTATCCACTAGCTTTCGTAAGTGACTGAGAGACCAGAGGAGAAATGGGCGTATTACTCTTTTTATTAGTGTGGCGGGTTCTTTAACATGCTTGAGGTGTGGCTCTCCTCAAACATGGGACCTCCAGCTTTACATCCCATCCATGAGAGTGTCCCTTGCCAAAGCTACTATTAGAAGTAAACTCATTTTCACTTCAAATACAAAGTGCCTTTCCCAAGGGCACAACACTAGGGCCTGCCAGGGATTAAAACCCAGAATTTCTGAGTCAACAACCATATCATAACCACAAGACCACCTTCCCACCTAAAAGTAAAGTAACTTCAACAGTATTCCCAGACCCCATCCTATCCCACTCACCAGCCAGTAGTAGTTGAGAAGTAGCCAGAGTGACCATGTTGTCACTAAAGGCCATGTTGGAGTGTGTGGAACGTTTGGGTTCAGCTGAGGTGCAAAGTGAGGAGAGTCTTGTTAAGTGCCTTTTTCTAGGACATAACTTAAGGGCATGCCAGGGATTTGAACCCATTACCTCTAGGTTCTGGGCCAAACACCATGACCATTACACTACACTACACTACAGGACACCACATATAGTACAGACCCCATCCCACTCACCGGCCAGTAGTAGTTGAGAAGTAGCCAGAGTGACCATGTTGTCACTGAAGGCCATGTTGGAGTGTGTGGACCGTTTGGGTTCAGCTGTTCTACTGGCCAAATCCTCCTCCAGTAACACAGCTACAACCTGTAGGAAGGATATAGCAACTTATGGTTACTGTAACTTTGTGTTTTCACGTGTCATCTTGGCTACCTGGTTTGTAAACATAAGTCATTACCAAATACATGTATATAGTCATAATGAATGTAAATAAAACCTGTAGGTATAAGATTAAAAAAAAGCCGTACAACCAACTCCTTGCAGACGTACGTGTACGGTAGACAAACTTATTTAGGATAGATTTGTGTTTTAATGACTGTTACATGTGTCTTGGCTACGTGGTTTGTAAATAATATCATCAAATAGTCATTGTACAAAAATGTAAATAGTGTGCTGCAACAATGTAAAATAGTAAATGTTACATCAATGTACAGTGAATGCAAATATAAATCATTACTCTTGAAGATGATACATTAGTCAGCGAAGACTGAGGGTATATATACTATGCAGGAGTATGACTACAATAACCAATAAACCATGAACATATACAGTATGTGTAGATATATAATAAAAATGTACATAATATGTAATATTGTACTGATGGCTGTTGATATTCTTAAAAGTTAAAAGTCTGAAGTTTTTGGAGTGGTTAAACTTTGCATTCTGTGAGTTGAAATTCTGCATTTTTTTATATTATCAGAAGAAGAAAAAAACTTAGTGAAGACTTTTGTGCAGTATACATAATGTTACAAGGCAGATCCAGGCATTTTACAAGTGATGTTGTAAATCAGTGGTAAATAAAACTACGGGTATGATTGTGAACTGGTGTGGTCTCAATTGTTTTACTGGAAGCCTGTGGATAGAAGTTTGTTTTAAGCATGTTTACCTGAGTTTTTACACAATGCCTGTTGATAGAGGCTTAGATATATCAAGAAGTTTGTTTTGTGTAAGAGGACCTGACAAGATCTGTTGTTTAAAGTTTGTTTTGTATATATTACCTGACAAGATCTGCTGTTTAAAGTTTGTGTTGTACATTATAAATACCTGACATGATATTTAATTTGTTTAAGTTTTTGTATTGTAAGAGTACCTGACATGATCTGTTGAGGAAGTTAGTGAGTTTGACCGTGTCCACAGCTTTGGTTTCCTGGTCCTGGTCAGGCCCTGATATACTCGAGTCATCTGGAAAATAATCAAAACTTATAAGACTAAAGGAAACAAGCCTTACAAAATAAACTGTTCGTAATAATTCTCAGAAATATCCATGTTAGTATTGTTACCTTTCCGTATTTTAAGGGTGTCACTGCAAAGTTAAACCACAATGACTTCGTCTTCTCTTTGTGTACTATTCATGTCATAAAGTCATGACAGAGTTGAGAAATTTGTTGTTGGAGATTCACATTCTAACATTTACTTTTCAAATTCAATACAAGCGTACAACATTTTACAAGCTGTCTTTTCTGTAGCGTTGAATCAATCATACAATTGTGTAGCAATGTTCTAGTGTAAGATTGTACATGTGATGAAGTATAGAGACATTCTCTATAGTTATAGAGTTCAAGCTTTGTTCCAACACCAGAAATTTTCGGCCAATCTCGTCAACCTTCATCACATGAATGATGAACTTGCTGACTCTCTGGAAGTCAGAAGAGTGAGATTCAAAAGTGGTGGGAAGACAGATTCTCCCATGGTCACTTTTTGTATTAGAACAAAGCTTGAACTCTAAAACTACAGACTAGAGATTTAGTATAAACTGGTGTGTTACGCCAAAAGGCGGTTATACCGGCTATACAGATACAGAAGCTGGTGTGTTACGTCGAAAGACGGTTCGCTATACAGATACAGAAGCTGGTGTGTTACACTGAAAGGCAGTTGTACCGGCTACACAGATACAGAAGCTGGTGTGTTACGCCGAAAGGCGGTTATACAGGCTATACAGATACAGAAGCTGGTGTGTTACACCGAAAGGCAGTTATACCGGCTATACAGATACAGAAGCTGGTGTGTTACGCCGAAGGGTGGTTATACAGGCTATACAGATACAGAAGCTGGTGTGTTACGCCCGAAAGGCGGTTATACAGGCTATACAGATACAGAAGCTGGTGTGTTACACCGAAGGGTGGTTATACCGGCTATACAGATACAGACAGATACAGATAGATTCTACCAACACAGATGAGATTTCATGAGAATTTAACTATGTAAACTGACCTCCACATGCGTTAACCTGTGTGGAGGGGTGCTGTGTCCATTTCTGTGAGACCTCCACTTCCTCTGTCTGAACCTCACGGTCGATGTTATCATCTCCACACTGGGTGTACGCCTGCATCGGGGAACAAGATATTATTGAGGTAAAAATCAGTGTTGCTCCCTCTAACCAAATACTTTCTCAAATTCAGCTTCTCAAATTCATGAAATAAAGAGTCTTTGTGTAAGTCTTTTACAAAATTATCACATTGATTGTTCTGTACTTGAGAGGTACATGTAACTGTCAGGTCATGGTTCATTGACAGTATTTGGAGTCTATGTCGACAAAGACTCTGATCGGGATCTCTACCGGCAGAACCACCAATTCTATACCAGATCAGAGTTTCTACCCTGACGAGTATATTTGATTTCATTTGTTGGAAATTATTGTAAGAGTACAATACATATGGGACACAGGCAGCTGTTGCTGGTGTTGTATTCCACACAGTTTGTATTACTCATTTTTACTTGATTTAAGTAAGGAAGGCCGTGTAAAGTGCCTTTCCCAAGGGCACAAGATCGGTGGCATGCAAGTTGAGCATTCTGCCATTGCCCCACATGACCCATATTACCTGTTGTGTATTTGAACTGCCGAAGCTGCGTATGTACAGCTCGTACTCTGTCAGAGGCGGGATGTCTAAAATATCATGTCCGACGAAATCCAACTCCAGAAGTCGCATCAGCTCTTTCCCGCGTTTCGTCGTCTTGGTAGCGACCTTCCGGCTGACCTGACGCTGTTTTGCCGCCACGAAGTTGATGAAGGTTCGACCTTTTCCGGTTGTAGGTCGTGAGTTGGAGGTACTCGAGTCGGAGTATGCACCCTGCAGATTTGTAAAACAAAATTACACAATATTTGCCTTCAAATACATACATACGTACATGGCCTAGCCTAATTATATAATAAACTACAGCTCTGTTTATTCTTACTCAAACATATTCATATATTATATATATGGTGGCCATCCCCTCCAACTCTGTCTTGCCACTTGCTACATAATGTAACCTGACACCACAAGGTGTCTACTACAGCACCAGTTACCATGATGGTGACATAGCTGCAGGTTGATTCCATTTCTCCCCATCACTGAGTATCAGTATCTCTCCAAATAGATATAGCATGACATGTATTTTAATTACAAGTGTCATTAGTGATACATAATATGCCACAGTTATCTCCTTGTATTATATTTATAAGTAATACACAAAGTTCCAGAGAAGTTGTCCCCTTACCGAGCTGTCCTTTCCATCGTCCAGCCCGGCAAACGGAGCCGGGGAAATCGTGGCGTTCTCCTGGTTCATCGCCTCCATGATGGCTCGCACCTCCGACGGCCTCTGTGGGGGGAAATGTAGTTTTATTTGATATGTGTTTTTGTTATACCATGGAGGTATCTCTACTTACACCACCTTGGTTATCAATCACTTTATTAGCACTGACCAGTGGCTAAAAGTGGCCAGCAGGCAGATTTTTAGTATTTCTTCAATGAACAGAAGTTCAAACAACAATGTCCTAAAAAATAAAATGTTCCTCAAACTCAAAGCAAAATTGCTGCACTGACCACAGATGGTCCAGTTGTCTCCTCTTCATCCTCATCCTCATCTTCATCTTCAAAATCATCATCATAATCCTGAAAATAGACATTCCACATAAAACCATGATATTATTTACGGATGTAGGAAGCAAATGGAAACAGTGAGGTTTGGCTTCAACAAGTAACCACTCAAGTCAAGGGACTGAGGAAAGATGGTTGGTGAGAGGATATGTTTTCTCTTAACAAGAGCACCTTAAAACTGGACAAGACTGTTTTGAATAATCTAGCTACACCAGGTTTGACTTCCTTACATTTTACAGAGCCTGATAATGGCTAAGATATCATAATGTGAAACTCTGCCTTTACCTCAAAGTCATCATCATCATAGTCATCATTGCCGCCTTCTGTGTTGTTTTCTGCTGGTGGCTCCTTTTCTGGCTCTTCTGGGACCTGGGAGTGTGGAACACACACAAGTTTACAGAAGAAATGGTACATTTGAGGTTACCGTAACATCTTCATTTTCTTATAATTTTGACACACATGCATGCTAAGACAGAAAAAAACAGTGTAATCAAGGCAGTTTTGTAGACTTCTCTTGACGTTAATGTGACAAATTGACATTCACATTGGTGAACTGATCGATTCTGAATACTATATCAAACAATGTAAAGAAAACATCAGCAGCTGACCTCTAGTTCTGGTGCTGAAACTTCTTCCCTTCTCCTGCCCTGATGTCTGTCTTCTCTGGGACGACTTTCAGACTGAAGAACACACAAACAAATTGTCAGCCAACAATTCTTATCCTTCACATTGTAAATTACATCATAAATTACATAGTTTGAATAAATGTCTTTATTACATTGTGACTAAACTCGCCTATATAAAACGAGCTTCAGATTAAACAGCAATAAAATGATTTTCAGAAAAACAAAATACACTTGGATGGAATATATCCTTATCTGAAAAATTCCACCAGTCTGTTCTAGTTACATCATTAAATATTTCTTACCTCGTCCTTGTCCCTTCTCTCCTCCTTACTCCTCCTGTCCTTGTGTCTCCTCTCTCTCTCCTTCTCTCTCTCCTTCTCTCCATCCTCCCCCTCCTCCTCCCGGTCCCTCCTGCGATGTTCCTTATCTCTGTGTTTCTTCTCCCGATGCTCCTTGGACCGATGATCCTTCCTCCTGTCCCGACCGTCTTCTGAACCGTGCCTGCTGCCGTCTCGAGACCTGGGAGGAGGAAAAAATCATCTGTTTTCAAACTATGGTATTTTACAATTTCAAGACATCAACTGTAATCTGATTTGACACAAGTTGTATAATTGTGTTCTATCAGTTTATACTTAGAAACCTGCTTTTCTGACAACTCTCCAGTGTCACTGACAAAATGTAGTGACTAGTGAATGCTACCTGAAATGTTCTTTGCAGATCTATCCTGTTATAGTGTACAATAGACTGAACTGCCAAAGGACAATTGTTTTTTTATTTATTGAAGCTGTATATACAAATGTATAAGGCAAAATTGTGTAGCTCACAAGTAAATCTGCACTGATCCTGCATAGACTAAGACTTTAAAGTTTAAGTAAGAGGAAAATCGCGTCAAACTCTCCAAGACTCACCCGTCTCTTTCTCTGTCCTTCCTCTCCTTCCTACGTCTTTCCCTGTCCTCATCCTTTTCTCTGTGTTTCCTCCTCCTGTCATCATCTTCATCCTTAGACCTGTGCTTTCTTTCTTCTCTGTCTTCCTTAGATCTATGCTTTCTATCATCTCTGTCCTCTCGGTCTTCTTTAGATCTGTGTTTCCTTTCGTCTCTGTCTCCTCTTTCATCCTTCGACCTGTGTTTTCTGTGTCTCTCATCATCATCTCCTCTTTCGTCCTTCGACCGATGCTTTCTTGGTCTCTCTTCGTCTTCTCTCTCCTCCTTAGCCCTGTGTTTCCTGTGCCTGTCCTCCCCGTCCTCCCGATGTCTTCTGGTTCTGTCCTCCTCTCCGTCTCTGGACCGGTGCTCCTTGCTCCGGTGTTTCCGATGTCTCTCCTCCTCATCTCGAGGCTCCTCGGAGCGGTGCTTCCGACGCCTGTCATCATCATTGTCATCTGTGCAAGACAGAGATGCAACAAGAGATGGTGTCAATCAGAACAAGGAAGGATCGGCAAGAGAAATATAACAAATACGTCTCTGTACGCATGTAGACACATGCAAACAAATAAAAAATGCTACCACTAGCACTGTATCATTAACTTGGCATGGCAAATGACATATAATAGTATATGATTTATTAGTGTCATTATTCAAATTGTTTTCAAATCTGTCACAATTGATAGCTAGTAGAAAATTCATCAACAAATTGTCCTGGGCTGCATGTATAGAGCTGCACTTGCTTTATATCTGATAAAACTTTCCGTGGATAGAACATTAATATGACAACCCCACTGACAGTTGGGTAGCAGTTAGATCACATCTTTTCTTTTATTATATTTGTCTGTAAAAGACTGTAAGATGAAAAGGAGGATGACACGTACGGTTTCTGCTGCTTCTCTTCTCCTTGTTGTCTCTCTCTCCATCCTTCGATCTGCGATCTCGTTTGGCCTCCTACAGACGTAACATCTGTGTTAGTATGCTACAGACTACTGAGTAACACTACTAACAGTGTAGCTATGCTAGCCTCTACCAGGCTTCAGGAGGTGGCTGGAAAGAGAAGTGATTCGCCAAATAAAGAGAGCTGCTCAAAGAGAGATAACATGCCAGGGGAGTTGGTCCAACTCTGGGCCAGCATGTTATCTCTTTATTTGGCCAATTTCTTCTCTTTCCAGCCAACTCCTGAAGCCTGATAGAGGCTAAGGAAAATCTAGGAATCATGGAAAATCCTCAGATTCTCAATTAACTATAAGAAATCCAGTTTCAAACCTTCAGAGACTGCTGGAGTTCATCAGCCTTCCATGTGTCTTCTTTGGAACGAGGCTGCAGAAAAAGACAAAACAATAATGTAAAAAAAAAACATGCTGTCTTTTCCCCCTTTCTTCTTGAGGTTATAAAAAATATAATGTCCCTATCTTGACTTTAAAAACAGGTGTTTTTCTTGATTATGCCTTTCGGACAATAAAGAAATAGACATTGTACAAAAGAAGGAACACTAACAGGAGTATGGGAATGTCAATGCCATATATCACCTACCATAATATCAAGGAGGTTATAATTACAGGTGTGTATCTCAGGTGTCATGGACAAACTCGGGACCTTTCGAGTTTAACCTGTAAACGTGTGCTATGATGAAATAACTTAGACACACGTTGGGAAGTTTTAGGGTCAGTTTTGGCCAACAACCATAAAATAATTATTTCTCTACAGTCATTAATGACAAAAAAGTTTGAGGTGTGAAAATATCAAAATTTACAGAGTTTGACTTTGAATTCAAACTGGTGCCATTGACAAAGACATAATCGTTCAATTGCTAGGGCAATTTATAAACCATGAATATTAATTCTCCAGGGTATATATTAATTCTAGATGTTCCTAGAGAAGAGAAAAACTCAGAAAGCTTACCTTCCTATCTCGGTTGCTACTGCTGGACGGCATCTTGGTTACGTTCGGTCGATCTAGAAACTCGCGAAAGTAGCGCCAAAACTAGCGATCAAAACGGCTACCAACTAACTGGTAACCACCAGGCAACGATACAAGGTCTCTTTGTAAAGTTATCGTTCCAGAATCATCGTTCTTCAGCTTGTTTCTTGGCGCAGAAGAGAAGAAAACAGTTTTGCAGGTGTTCGCGGAACTTTCGCAGCTCAAAAATGGCTCAAATATGCGCTCTGACGCACGCGCACTGCGACATCGATATTTAGCTGGCCGAGATAAACACTGCCTGTAAAACTGTTTGTTTTTGTTTGGGTAAAAAAATCAAGTACTCAGAATAAACGATAAATTTGTCACTTTACTTATTGAAATGGGAATACAATAGTCAGCTTGGGTGATGATCTGATATATTTTCGCTCTTTCAGGGGATTTTGTGGTGTAGATTTCACAGGTCCATATTATTATGCAACAGACATCTAACTAGAAGAAACCATTTTTTCACAGTGTAATAGGTTCTGTGAGATATTTTATGCTATTATATCAACTTACCGTCGTTAAGTAAAAAATCTAAAAACAAAAGAAGAATAAACTTATTCTAACAATACATACATTTACACTTTCATGGGGATAATACAAGATGGTCTTATATACCGATTATATTCAACTGTGGTTTCGTTATCCCCCAACGTAAATGGTTTATTCCACCTAAGAAGAGACCGAACTGCGAGAGAAGGTCGCAGTGTGCAAGACATGTGTGGGTAAGAAAGTACGACAAAAACGCCTTAAACCTGCTCAAGACTCAAGCCCAAGACTATGTAGTTGTGATACACAACTTCCTCAAGACGTTTACCGAGACTGTAACACGATTTAAGACACCATGACGTCGGTACTAAGGTTTCTCGGCAGCCAGGCTAGCACAGTCCTTTCCCAACTCTGCCCGGCGGGCGCCCGTTCACTTTTTACGTTCTCGCGATCCAGTCCTCTGGTCAACACTCTAGTCCCCATCCGCGCTTCACATCTGCGTAAAAGGAAACGGGTGGACCCTAAGATCGAGCAGGCTCGAGAAGCCAGGCTCAAGAAACGGATTAAGCGGCTGCTGAAGAAGGATAAGGAGATGGTGGCGATTGAAGACTTCTTCGTGATGCCGAGTTTGCTTGAGGAGGTCCGGGAAAGGCCGCCGGTTGTTGTTTCTACTGAGGAGCAGGAGAGGAGGGCTGCGCTGGAGAAGGAGTGGGCACGGTTTAGGAGGTGGGCGGGACACTTTTATGCATTATGATTGTTTATGAATGTTGTTTATGATAGTTGTCATTCATGATCGTTGTCATTCATGATTGTTGTCATTTTTGATTGTTGTAATTCATGATCGTTGTCAATTATGATTGTTGTCATTCATGATTGTTGTCTATGTTTTCCATCTTCTAGACAGCAGCACCTGACAGAGGAGGCAGCGATCGTTGCCATGGTAACGTCCCAGCAGCGAGCCCTGGAGGAACTCCGAGCCGAGTCTGAAGAACTCTTCCAACAAGCCGTGCAGGTCAGGATCTACAGTAGTAATCTCCAAGCAGATTTTTCGGTGGCTGCAATAGACAGTATCAAATTGGCCAGGCTGTATCCATTTGCCACCCAAATGGATACAGCCTTGTCAATATGATACAATCTAGGTCTTTGTTTACTGGCAAAATCTAAAGAAGTTGCCGACATTTGCGATAGAATGAAATAAACAAATGGTAATACAGACAGTCCGCTGGCAATACATTATCTAAGACAATGGAAAGGGCCTTTCGCATGCAGAACCAGCTTACTATGACTGACCATGTTTGTGTGCATTTCTACATACAGGTGGACCCCCTGCTGATCCCCTACCAGCGACTAGGACCTACAGAGACCCCCCCTCTACCCACATATGACCCCCCTGATGGAAAATATGTTGACCTCACACCAGTGGAATGAACCACACTGAACAACAGTTTCAACCCTTCAAGGGAAAAATTAAGTCAGAATAAAGTGAACATTAAACATTCAAGTCTTGTAAGGGTTATAATTAGAACTACTCGCTGTTCAAATCATATAACAACTTACATGTGCATCATATAATGGCGGATCACTAGCCAATAGAAGCCATCTTTCCTACGAGTTGTTTCCCAAGATCTACTCAATGCCTCCCCCTCCCAATGAACGAACTTCAACATAGATTTAACAATTTTCACAACACCGTGCGTATCTTGTAAAGCGATATCAATATCACTTTCCCCCAATCTGAACCATATACATGTACATATATGTAACTATGGATGATGATATATCCAGGAACTTTGTTAAGCAATGCTCATACGTATACACTTGAAGTCAGCGTAGATAATTTCAATGAAAACGATAGTAGACAAAGACACCAATAATTCTGATTATTAAAAAGATACAAGGGAACTCACTGATGATTTTAAATCATCAGCACATGAAAGCTAGATATTGACAAAGTTTAAAAATTATAATACATTTATAGCACTTAGAATACGTCTTTCAGCTTGTAGATTAAGATATATTTGCCTTAAAATGTGTTAAAAATAAATGTATAATTGTTTCCTTCCTATTCAAGTGATTATGACCTACATTAGATTTAGAATAAAGAAAACTATCTTTAAATGTCAGGCTCATTTGTTCCCTTATTATTATGGCTCCTATTTTCATATTAGTTGTCATATTATACCATACAATTCATGTATAGTAGCCAGGTGGTCACTAGTACAGGTTGGAGGGTTGATGGAAAATGCTGGGTGCCAGATGTGTCATCATTCTTGAGTAGCCTGACCTGCTAGCCAGACCAGGTCTGACACCCAGTGTTTTCCATAAACCCCAGGCTGGACTATAATTATTTGTGGATTGTTCATAAAATCTACTTGTCGAACTCCTCGGCACACTGTCTGCCGATCTCGAAGACGTCAACCTCAGGTTTGACCTTGTCATACAGGTGAGGGAACGCTCCTTCTGCACCGTACTTCTTACGCACCTGCAGGACATAGAAAACATGTCTTCATCAATGTTTAAAGTTAAAACTTTTGGTCCAACACAAAAAATTCTCTCACCTAGAGCAGTCACCCTGGTCTTCCTCAGTAGACTGACCCAGTGAGGCTTGTCACGTGGCTTCTTTGAAGTGTGACGTCAACACTGGGTCAAAGGTATCTGGTGTCTCCATCAATCTTAGCTTGATAATGAAAAAGGAACCTTCTAAAATTAAAAAGGTAAGTTAGCATTAGCCTCTGCCAAGGGAGTTACTAGTAGTCCACTAGAGAGTACGGTTCAGGTGTGGCAATGTTATCTCTCTATTTGACCAATTCCTACTCTTTCCAGCCACCTCCCGAAGCCTGGTAGAGGCTAAGTAAACATAGTCTCATGGCCTTTTTGAGGCTGTAGGGGCAGTGTGTTGTCAATCCACTGTGTCTAGGGCACAGTATTGGAAGGCAGAGCCCATCCCTCTCCTTCCACCGCCTTTTACATCCCCAACTGAATTCAGGTGCTACCCACATGCATTTTTACACCTGGGTGGAGTGAGGAAAATTGTGTTAAGTGCCTTTTCCAAAGGACAAAATGTTTGTTTTGTTTAGGATCTCCATTAGTGTGAATTTCACACTACTCTTCCTGGAGTCCATAGTGAATAATCAGATAAGTATTTGCACCAACCGACACTGGGGCATGCCCCTATCTCTTTTTTGAAAGGTGTGGTGGGTTCTTTAACGTGCGTGGGGTGTCTAGATAAACATTATATTTCACTGAAGACAAAGAAGTTACGAACCTTCTCATACAGAGACAGGTCAAACATTTCTTCAAACTCCTCTCTGGTCATGAAGATGTCGGCATACAAGAAGGAGTAACCACCGGCCTCTCGGATAAACCTGGGAACAGCAGGTAGATAATATGTTTAAAGTTAAGACTTTTGATCCAACACAAAAAATTCTTTCACCTAGAGCTTTCGACCAGTCACTCTGGTCTTCCTCAGTAGACTGACCCAGTGAGGCTTGTCACGTGGCTTCTTTGAGACGTGTCTACTGAGACCAGAGTGACTGGTCGAAAGCTCTAGGTGAGAGAATTTTTTTGTGTTGGACCAAAAGTCTTAACTTTAAACATGTAACTACCAACACAGATGAACTTTCATGATAGTAGATAATATCATGTTATGCAAGACTATTCCAGACTAAAAGGACAGGGATAGTGTATTCAGCACCAAGGACAGGGATAGTGTATTCAGCACTGAGGACAGGGATAGTGTATTCAGCACTGAGGACAGGGATAGTGTATTCAGCACCAAGGGCAGGGATAGTGTATTCAGCACCAAGAACAGGGATAGTGTATTTAGCACTAAGGACAGGGATAGTGTATTCAGCACCAAGGACAGGGATAGTGTATTCAGCACTAAGGACAGGGATAGAGTATTCAGCACTAAGGACAGGGATAGTGTATTCAGCACTAAGGACAGGGATAGTGTATTCAGCACCAAGGACAGGGATAGTGTATTCAGCACTAAGGACAGGGATAGAGTATTCAGCACTAAGGACAGGGATAGTGTATTCAGCACCAAGGGCAGGGATAGTGTATTCAGCACCAAGGGCAGGGATAGTGTATTCAGCACTAAGGACAGGGATAGTGTATTTAGCACTAAGGACAGGGATAGTGTATTCAGCACTAAGGACAGGGATAGTGTATTCAGCACCAAGGGCAGGGATAGTGTATTCAGCACCAAGGACAGGGATAGTGTATTCAGCACTAAGGACAGGGATAGCGTATTTAGCACTAAGGACAGGGATAGTGTATTTAGCACTAAGAACAGGGATAGTGTATTCAGCATCAAGGACAGGGATAGTGTATTCAGCACCAAGGGCAGGGATAGTGTATTCAGCACTAAGGACAGGGATAGTGTATTCAGCACTAAGGACAGGGATAGTGTATTCAGCACCAAGGACAGGGATAGTGTATTCAGCACAGGCATGTAAGTTCTGTTTTGCTATGCAAAATAATGGCTGAAATTCTTGGAATCCTTAAAGCACCCAATTGCAACTTGAGCTTTTAAAACAACACGAAACAACTTCTCGATTAGTGTTCACCTGACATAACATTTGATAAGAGAAAACTGGCAAAAACCATGGTTGTCACAAATAGGTATAACTTTATCGAAACACAAACTTATAAGACCACATGTGTTTAATCAAAAGTTTATTTGTTCTTCAAATAATCTTCTAATGCTAAGTATGAACTTTTCCCAGACAAAGTGTATATATTACATGTATTACGAATGGAAAGAACCTTACTTCTCCATACTGCGCATGGCGTGAACAGGATCGTATCGCTCACGGCGCTTCACCGGACCCGGAACTCCGTACACACCAAGGTCGTAGAACATTCCTGCACACAGCAAATCAATCATGAACTAGAGAAGTAACATTTGCAAAGCAAATGCATAATGTTTACCTTCGGACATGGTCTGCCCTGGTAATTTTTACTCAAACACATTCACATACATGTACTACTAGTATATGGTGACAGGAGCAGAGCAGACCATGAAATTCCAACATTATGTAACCCAACACCAGTCACCATGGTGACAGACGTCAACAAATCATGTCATTAGCCAGGTCATAGGTCACTGTTTGGAGAAGAAGAAGAGGGAGGAAGAAACCGAGCAAAAACAATATGTTTTCCTTTGGTAAACATAATCAATGTTACAACAATTATGAGTCAGAGGTGTATCATGCCACAAGCTCTCGGGGAAGAGGCCCAATCTAGCCCAGTTAACAAATCTACTTTAGCTCCCAAACTGAACTTCCGAGTCCTACATCCTCTCCGCAAATTTGTGGAGAGGATGTAGGACTTGGGAGCTAAACTAAGATTTGGTAAACCAGGCTAGCTTAATCAGTCTGACAGTGAGAGATTGTGTAACACAGACCAGACTGGATAACGGCCTGGTTTGTGAAGTTTTGTATGTATGTTCTGTACTTGTATATAGTCCTTCATGTTATGTACATGTATGTTACAAGTTATATATAATGTTTTCAAGAACCCCATTGTAAAAGACTGCTATGATACTGAGCTGGGCCACCCTGGGTAAATAAAAACAAACAAGCAAACAAATAAACAAACAGGCTATGTTCCCCCCCACCGTAGTTAGTCCCGGGGCACATCTGGTCCTTCCTGGGGGGTCTGAGTTGACCTCTGCTGACCCCATGGTCGTAGATGCGGCAGGGATAGATCAGGATAGGATAGGTGTCAAACAGCTCCTCAGCTCTGTCTACTGACTTCTCTAGTACTGTCATGGGGAGGACTATGTCCTGGAACACCTACAAACAAACAAACAGACAAACAAAAACACATGTTTTACTGTCAACCATAGTAATAATTGTTGTAGATTTTCATTAAGCAAAAATCTTCATGCTGTCTCGAAGATCAATGCAGAGTTGAGAGTCAAAGGTGAAAGGTTACCTGTTTAGCGAAGGTCATGGCCCTGACCCCTGGTGTGGTAGTGAACTTGAGGAAAGCTGGTTTGGGAGGTAACAGCCAGCCGAACAGCAGTCTGGAGAAAGTATCAAATTACATTGAGAAATAAAGCTCTGATCAATGTTATTGGTTAATAGATGGTTATAAGATCAGAAACATAAGGTCAGAACTATAAGGTCAATAACCTTCAACCTTCCTCCAAATTCACGCAATTTGCTGGAGTCATCACTGCATGGTCACATGTTATGATGTGGGTCATTCAGCTTGAAGAAGGCTGCAGCTACATTGTAGTAAGTACATTCAAGCTGCGTAAGACCGGACGGTAAGGTTTGAACCACTCACACCGGGAAGTGAGGTGTGGGTTTTCTTACATCCCATCCTAGCCTGGTATCCAGTCTTACGTGATTGGGGGTGTTGGGGTGTTTGGGCAGGTTGTGTCTTCAGGGCTCTAAGAGCTTCCCCCGCCCAGTGCAACAGGCCATCCCGGTAGGAGTGTTACGCTAATCAGAGACAATATGCTTGGGGATTTGGAAATACACACCGGGAAACCTATGTGAGGCGGGCGGGACAGAGCTCTTTCGGCCCCGACCACGAATCAGACTGGATACCAGGCTAATCCCATCCAAAGGGAACATGCATAACGAAAGCTAGCTAGCTTTTTGACCAAGAAGAGGAGAGGTTCCAGCCCCACCTGAATATAGGGTTGTTTCCGAAGGGAATCATGGACTCCACGACCCAGAAGATGGCCCGGTTGTGTCGCAGGAGATACTCCCTGAGTGGGATGTACTCATAGTTCTCTCCTCTCTTCAGGAACGTTTCTACGTGTTTGTAGAACCACGGTTTGTACCAGCGGGTTACGTGGTTGATCTGTGTGGGGTGGGAAAGGTATTTGTTTATGGTGTATTTATATTTTCTTTCACCAGAGTGGCTTTCAAGTAAGGCCTCTACAGTTGTTTGTGATTGTCAGCAGTCATGCTTGTACCATATACCAGTGAATCACAAACCTCTACCAGGCTTTAGAACTGGATGGAAAAGGCTAGGAAATTAGCTGATAGACAGATAACAACTCCCCTGTTATTTTATCTTTCTAATAGGCTAGTTTCTACTATTTCCATCCAGTTCTGAATCCTGGTAGAGGCTACGTATATAGCACATCATGATGTGTGGTTGATCTATGTTTGATGGAAAAGGTATCTACCAAACTGAGTACTTCCTTTATATATCTTGTCAAAAATCACTTAAATTCTGTTGAATTCACTGTTTTAACCACTGGGTCACTCAAAATTGGTCAAGGCTTAAACTGGAACCATAGAACACATGAAACAATACATGAAGCATCAGTAGATCATGCATGCTTCAGTGCCAGAACATTCATCATCAACCCTGACCTTGGCCTTCTCCTTGGGATCCGTGACGTCAGTAAAATTTCCCACCATCACAACTGCCTCTTCTTTGGAGAAAACTGTCGCTTCCAGATAGTCAGGCAGCTGGGGGGAGGATATACATGCATGTATGAGAACTGGTAAGACATCTGGAGCTGCATAGTGACCAGGGCGCTATGCACTGGGAAGGCATAAAAAGTCAGAACTTTGTGAACTTGTGTCATTTAGCCTCTGTACACTCGAAGAAGCCACACAGGCAAAACCAGTCATGTGACAGGCTGAATAAAAGTTCTAAATGGGAACTATGTGGCTCCAGATGCCTTATTGACAGACAACTGCGTGAGCGAGATGTTGATTACTAGTAGTTTAAGGAATGAATCCCCTCTATATACAACTCAGCAAATTCTGGTTAGCTAAAGCTCCAGAAATATGAAAATGTCAATGGTACAGCTTTGTGGGAAGAAGTAATTCTGAAATGGGTTTTTGGTGGAAATTTAACCAGTGTTTCAGTACCATGGACAGTAGCTGTCACATATGAAGGAATGTGAATATTATAAGCAGGCAACATGCAAGATTACTCTACCTTTGCAGTCTTGTCCAAGGCCCCTGAGAGGTCCCTCATCATGTCACAGTAAGCCTTCTGACCGTGGACAGGGATGTAGGTCAGCTGGGAGGACAGAAACAGACAGCAGGAATTAATAAACAACAGAATTGTAAGCTTTATAACTGGTCTGTAACTTTCAAAACACATCAATAAGCTTTTTAGAAACAGATGAAATCTAACCTTGACCATGACCTTGGACAAATGCACAAGAACCATATACCATCTCCCACTCCTATGTATTTTGCACCGTGTATGTATAGAAAACATATGTACAATATACATTGTATATTGATTTATTTGTTTTTTTCGTTGTGTAGATGCCTCTTCCCTTTCCCTCAAAACCTCCCAAAAGTGGTCTGCAGGCTGATTTGAGCTTCTCATGAATAAAGAATTGTTCAAACAAACAAACAAACAAACAAACAAACAAACAAACAAACAAACAAACAAACCTTAAGGTAGGGTTTGACAGGGATGATTTTGAGCTCCATGGCCACCAGCAGACCCAGTGACCCGTGTGACCAGGGCAGGGCGTGATACAAACAAACAAACAAACAAACAAACAAACCTTGAGGTACGGTTTAACCGGGATGATTTTGAGCTCCATGGCCACCAGTAGACCCAGTGAGCCGTGGGACCAGGGCAGGGCATGGTACAAACAAACAAACAAACAAACCTTGAGGTAAGGTTTAACCGGGATGATTTTAAGCTCCATGGCCACCAGCAGCCCGAGGGAACCATGAGACCAGGGCAGAGCGTGGTACAGGTCCGAGTGTTCGTTGTCCTTCGTGGCGTGCACGAGGGAACCGTCGCCTAGCAACACATCCCACGACTCCACTGCCTCCTGGTACAGACCCACCTGGGGATGGAGATACTTCAGGTGATGAAATCATCTGTGACATCTGTGAACTCATCAGAACTCATGATCAGAGGTACTTGGTTCGAGTTATGTTACCGATCCTGTGTCCTTGGGAAAGGCACTTTACCGGGTATACAACTTTCTTTACTCCACCCAGGTGTAAAATGTGTACCTGATTTAGAACAAAAATGTGTACATTTATTTAGAACAAAAAAAATTTTTTTTTTTTGCAAATCAGAAAAAAATGGACAGGGCGAATCTGAGAAACAACAAATTAAATTGATGTGGCTTAACAGAAACAGAAACTAAAGTGGTGTGTTCACATGTCACAGCCATCAGGATCAGATCAAAACCATCGCAAGGAACAGTACATGGGGGGGGGGGCCCGCAAGCCCTTTTCCGTTGAGCATAATCTCGGCCGTTTTAATTCTACGTAGAGCGTAGACGGACCGCTCTAATTTAACGTAGAGCGGTCCGTCTATGTTCTACGTAGAGTGTAATTGGCACATTTTGCGTAGAGCGTATTCGCCGTTTTAATTCTACGTTGTGGCCACTTGGAATTTATCGTAAAATGTAATCGAGAAGTTTCCAAATTCAGCGTAGAGCGTTTGTTGGGGACCCCCCCCCCCCCATGGAGGAAGAAACAGGGGTAGGAAAGGGACAAGATATTTAGAAGAATGTGAATAATTATGATTTCATACAGGAATTGAAATGATTTTTTCTGCACATTCTGCAGGCTGACACAAACAACGGTGCAAGCTGAGGGAACCAACCCTGTGTGAGTACGTCGTCATGCCAACGCCCAGACCCAAACCTCCGCACGTCGCATCCGCAATCTCCAAGGTAACCGCCAAGGTGTATCCTGGGAAATTGTGGAAAAGTGTAACACGTGAATCTATATCTACAAATGTACATGCATCACATGTACAGCAAGGCCACAGCAAGTAAATTTTATGGATGACATCCTCCGCAGACTCCAAATCTAATGTGAGCAGGCCAAAAAAAAACAAGGTGGGCCAAAAAAAAAAGGTTCCTACATTTTAAAATCTTGACTCAATCATGGTACAAATGGTTTTGATTCAGTGGGAACATAACATATACACAGCCACCATCTCATATCACTGCATCAAAGTAAGAAAGAAAACATTAAATCAGAGTATTTTCTTGTCTCCTGTCTTCATACATGTAGTTATCTGCCATCCACCTTCCGGCACGGCAACAGACATCTTTGCCCATTTTCGGCATGGTGACCACTGTCAGAAGGCAACAAAATTAATTATAATGCGTGCACTGATGTCATCCATAACAATGACTTGCTGTGGCCTGCGCTGTAACCTGACTGACCCTGTGTGAGTAGGTCGTCATGCCGGCACCCAACCCCAGACCTCCACAGGTCGCATCGGAGATCTCCAAGGTTACCGCCAAGGTGTATCCTGGGTAATCACACGGAGGAATATCTGTTACTGAACTCTGAACCTATGACCTCCAAGTAGATGTAATTTTCAGTGTCAGATTTTTATACCAGGTCCTGTTTTTGAAGCATTTATTACTAGTATTACATCTAAAACAAAGGGACTGAGCTCTATCCTTAAATCTGCTAGGAGAGCATTACATAACTTAAGAAATTATTATGAGATCTTTGATAAATGATTTTTGCATATGAAAATCAAAGAAACATTGAATGGCAATCATTCCCAAATAATTCAAAACAAAAATTTTGATTTAGATGATCCTGAAGTAAAAGATGTCTCTCATCTAAAACAGGCTGGTAAAATTTTTACAAATGTAGCATTTGAAAGAAAGCTGTACCGCGAGGGATGAGGTAACGAGTGATGTCACCAACTGAAACCATCGGCTCCACACGAACCACCTGCCGGGCCTCGTCAAGCGACAGGATGTTGTACAGGTCAACAGGGATCTTCTCACACTGGTCCTACAGACAAAGGAATAAAGTAATAAAATCCAATTTCAAAAGTTTATCTGTGTTCCCCTCCCCCCCCAAAAAAAACTGAAAAAAACAAATTGCAAAAAATACAGAGTTAAGCTTACAAGCAGCAGAAGACATAGCAGGGACCATGCTACTTGGAGGTACCAATTAAAGAGAGGACATCAATCAATAAAAGCTCCTTAAGAGGCCTGGCTCCTTAAAGTAGCCTGAGTACCATCCGGATTTTTGCTACGCAACGCTTGCAGAGAGAAAATCCGGATAGTATCCAGGCTAGCTCAGGCCAGGATCTGGCCGCTTGCTCCCCTCCTTCTGGTTCCTCCAGCCAGCTCTATCCAAGGGCAGTGAGTCTCAGCTTCCCTGAGGGTACAGCCCCTGTGTCTTTTTGTTTCAAACTTACCTTCTGGAAGAAGGTAGTAGACAGGCTGAGCCAGTTTGGTCGTGAGGTGCACATGGGTTTCCTGCGGTCGGCTGGAAGGTCGTTCCACCGGCGGATTCTCCGCTGGATCTCCCGTACGCGATCATCGTGCTTCTCTGGGGCTGACAGGAATCTCCGACGGAACCAGTTTCTGGAAAGGGACAGAAAAATGAGATAACAAATGCAGGGCTGGAAATACTGGGTGCATGTGCACCTTAGTACACCCAAAATTGGAGCTGTGCACCCAATATTTTTCAATGGGTGCACTGGTGTACTCAAATATTTTTTGTAGGTATTTTTGTACATATTAAATGTACGAAGCCAGGTGAAGAGGATACAGGATATTCTCAGAATCTCAGAAGTCAATCAATATTAATCAATCAACCGCAAGCATCAGGGCAGATGCATCTAAGCGTCAGAAAAATAATAAAATCTTTGTTGTAGTACTTGTTTAAGATTTTGAAGTTAGTTCCCATTTCAGATTCAAGCTTAGAAGAGGAGCAGTAAGATCTGTAATTAGGTTTTGTTCTATATGGATAGAGATAGTGTTTTTGTTCCTGAGTGAATGCCTGGTAGCTGTAGAAGCTGTAGAAGCTTCTGAAGAAGTTTCCCCGGACACACCTGAGCTGCAGGCAGGTGTCGAACAGGAAGCTTGCCGGCAGACAGAAGACCAGGATGATGAACCCTCGGTTGTCCTCCAGCCACCGGACTAGACGCTTACGGAACGCTGACGTCTCACCCATGGTTCTGGATTAAATGGACCTATTACATTATTACGTCACAGTTTATTTACCGCAATGAATGCCGGGACAGTTTGTGGTCACTCAATGTTTATATTGTACAGGTGTGTGTGTTTGTGTAGCATTACAATACATATACTACTACTAGTACTACTTTCGTAATGTTACATGTATTTCAGCTTTGTTAAAACATCATGTATTTGTACTTAGAAGTGTACTTTTGTCGAGTCAATAAAGAATGTATTCGAGTACAGAAAAAGTCTTTCATATTCGAGAAAAAGTCAATTTCATTGTTAATGAGGTCGAGGACTGTGTGAATCACAAATTGTTATCCATAACATCGAATAGCATCTGTCACTTCGGTTGGGACGTAAAGTTGGGAACGAACCTTTTTTCTATGGAGTAGTTTCAGGATTTGCCATGTCGCCCCTCCCCCATTTTTTCTGACATCGCCCTCCCTTTTAGTTTTACTGTACTTTGTTCCGTTTACAGTTAAAATGGAGACCGCACTAACACATTCCTGCCTCCTGATCGCGATCTAAAGTCGACGAAATACTCGATCGGGATTTCTGACTGCACGATCGGCGATAAATTATTATTTTTCTCTCAGTGTATATAAAGTACCCAACATAAACAAAGATTTTAGCTACAAAATTCGCAGTTTTTACGTTACGACATCACCTTGTCCTGCCTTCTCACCTGTCTATCCGACGTTACGTGACGTTCCCCACCTGGTGACGTTCTCACCTTTACCTGTCTGACGTCAGGTGACGTCCAGAGTCCACCTGAGCTCAGCTGATCGGCGAAACTAGCACAGGCCGACCTCTGACCTTTTGCTGTCTCACACCGGAGTTTTTGAGACAGGTCCGGTTTTCTCCAAGCAGATACAAGAGGGGAGTATTGTAACAGCATCAAATGAAAATAACAGCATAAAACACTCCAAAAGTTATAAAAAAAAAAAAAAACACTCTACATTATTGTACATGTATACATCTGTGTCCATAATATCACCAGGGTCCATAATATCGCCACCTTGAGAAACAGTGTGCTTAAAGATATTTTTACTGCAACATACTTTTGGTATGCACTCCTTCACACCTCAAATGTATATACCTATATGTTGCAGTAAAAATATCTTTAAGCACACTTTTTCTCAAGGTGGTGATATTATGGACCCTGGTGATATTTCGTTAATATGGACACAGATGTTACATGCAAGATGCTTCGATTCATAACTGTTATTACAATATCTCTTTGGATATTTCTCTTGCTATTCTATGAACTATGATACTATTGAAATTATGATACATGTACTATTAACGACACTCAACAAAAGAGGACATGTTTTGCAAAGGTGTAGAAAAGTTTAGCAAAGTTCGCTTTTAATAGACAGGCAAGTTTGTTACAAATCCCATGTCCTATTAGGTCCAATGCCTTCACTCTTTCCTACACAAGACTTGCACACATTATCCATACAAAGTACGTGTATCAGCTAAATCTCAAACCAAATCAAGGTTTCAGCCTAGCTAAAGCACTTTACTGCATCAATTACACTGCATTCAATGGACACAGAAAAAAACCAAAACAAACAAACAAACAGAAAGTTACAAATCTCACATCATTGTTTCACCAAATGGCACCTTTAGTTTTTGCACCTTCAATGGAAATGTTCTGAGCTCTGATGCCTTTTCTCTTTTTCCACACTCTTGCACTGTTACACATTTTATCACATCTCAGACCATATTAGCTAAAATGAAAATCTCTAAGCAATTCAAAGTTTCATTCTAGAGCACTTTACTACATGAATTACACTGCATTCATTGGACACAGAAATATAAAAATATCAAACATATTGCAGAAATTCCTTCCACAAATAAAAGTTGTCACTATACTACTACTACATGATATACGTAATAGTATCAATACAAAATGCAGCAGGGTTGGAAAAACACAGTACTTCATAGCACTTGCAACATGGTATAACCTTACACCAGTTACCATGGTGACAGACATCTGGTTCTGGTCATTGACCTTACTTGTTTGGAGAAAAAGAGATGGCAGAAGAAGAAACAGAGCAAAAACAATATGTTTTCTTCTGCGATGGTAAACATAAAATTCAACATAGCAGCAGTCCTCCATTGGAAATCTCATAGCAGATCAAAGGTAACACCAAGTTAATTTCTTGGTTAACTAAAAATTTCAGAATCAGCTGCAAAATGCTCATACTTTTCCCTGAACAGTTGAAAACAGTCCTTTTCTTCCAAGCTGTTACAGTTATTCCATCAATGCAATGGTATCATTAAAAGTTCAAAGTTCATTGTTTAAATTTTGAACCAGCCTGGTGTGTTGACTACATGGCTCCTATCGTACCATTTTGGGCCATAATAGGATGCCTAGGCCTGTTTTTATTTTTTCGCCCGCCCGCTCCATTATTTTTCTAGAAAAATCCGTTAAGCAAGAAATTAAATTAGTGTGGCCTTAAGGTGGCAAAATCATACCCAAATGGCAAGACTGACTGTCCAACTTGCCTTGTTCCCTTTCCCTTACAATTAATAATTTACAGCAATAATGTTTACATTCAAAGTCAATCCTAATCAAATTGTTGTTCTGAATGTTATCAATGTTTGGTCCTATAACGTCATTAAAGAAGACCCCTATCACAAGATAGTCTAAAATTGTACATTTTTCAAGTGGAATATAATATCAGCACTTTTGGGTATTAAATATCTTGCTTAAATTTAAAAATTGTTGCACAATAGTTAAAACAGCAGCTTCCAATGTTTCCACCATGGTCCTCTATCTAAAAAATCTTCTTGACAAGATTCTTAAACTATGTAAGTACAAATTTTCACAATATTATATAATAATACAAGACTTCTAATGATCATCATATACATATATTACAGCTGCCTTTTTCTTTCATGATTTTTTTCTCGAATTTCACATCATTTTTACGTAATTCCTTGAAAATCAATTCTTTACTTGACATTATTAACATCACCATTACTATAACTAACCTTCATTTTATAACTAGTACTTTTGTCTCTCCATTCTCTGTACATTCTGGTGTATTTTCTAACAGCAAACCTTCCGATTTGTACCATAAAAACCCAGCTAACGATATAAAGTGCCGTTCCTCCTAACTTGAAAAGCATGAGTGGTCGTTTGTTTGTCCACTCTGTGTAGAAGAAATACCCGCCGACGCCGATACGGACCCCTGCAAACAGACTGATGAACAGTAAGTCGTTGATTTCGGCGGGAAGCGTGCGGTAGCGGCCGGTTTCTTTGAAGAACCAGCGTAACTGTAGAAACGGGTTGGTCAACTCGGCGCCGAAAATCACACCGATCACGTCGGTACCAGACACTCCCAGGATCAGGGCTGGGAAAGGAAGAGACAATAGGCAAGTGTAAATCATTAAATATTTGAAAAAATAGTAACTTGCACTTGTTTTGCCTACATACTAAGTATGTCTTTATGTTGTGGCTTCTTCTGTCCAATTCATCATCACACTGTGCCTGAACAGGTGCTTTGTCTTAGAGTAAATGTAAGCAATGTTATCTTTCAACCAGGAACTTGAAACATAACACAGCAGGTCCCAGGCTGGGATGGGATTTGAACCCCTAACCTCACGATCCTTACCTGCAGCCAGCCCAAAGATACTGGCACAGTGGTGTGTGAGCATGACCATCCCCTCTGTACCAATTGTTACATACACCAGGATGGGATTCAAACCCCTAACCTTACGATCCTTACCTGCAGCGAGTCCAAAGATACTGGCACAGTGATGAGTGAGCATGACCATGCCCTCTGTCCCGTGGTACACACACCAGGAGAAGTCAAACAGGAAGTACCCGAGACACAGAACAATGATCTGCTCCTCATACTGGGAGTTGGGCAGACCTGGAGGGACATGTAAGATGAGAAATTAACATTGGTTCCTAGTTTTAGAAATATATAAGCCTCTACCAGGCTGCGGGAGGCGGCTGGAAAGAGTAGAAATTGGCCAAATAGAGAGATAACATGCGGGTGCTGCAAAATCTTCTCTCCCAGCAAACAAAATCCCCTGGCATGTTACATGTATCTCTCTATTTGGCCGATTTCTACTCTTTCCAGCCGCCTCCCGAAGCCTGGCAGAGGCCAGGAATATATATACATGTAGATAGTAGCAGATCAACATGAAAGCAGACCAGGAAAAGTCTGTATATATACATGTAGTTATATATGTCTAGCTTAGAAGTTATGCTACAGTACTGAATAACATTAGAGTCCACTTTATGTTGTCCTCTTTTCATTCACGAACATTTTGCTTAATTTTTCATATGAATTGTTTCAGAACCAACGAAATCAAATTGTGTGGCCTTAAAGATGAAGGTCCATCTAAAGTAGAATTCATAAAAAGGAAAGGTTGTAAGTTGTGGCAACCTGGGTCGGTGAAGGGCCAGCGGTTGTCGATGAACCCGTTCTTGTAAGACAGGCACGTGATGAGGACGCCATGGGCAGCTGTGACCAGACGACAGTTCCACTCTGCACTACATCGGGAGTTTAGGAGGCACAGCACCCGGTATGTACAGACCCACAGTAGCACACTCACAAGGACGCCCAGGGCTACTAATGCCATCCTGGCCTGTTCCTGGATCAACAAGGAAAGTTCATAATCAATCAATCAATCAATCAATCAATCAATCAATCAATCAATCAATCAATCAATCAATCAATCAATCAATCAATCAATCAATCACCCAGGGCTACTGATGACATCCTGGCCTGTTCCTGGATCAACAAGGAAAGTTCATAATAAAGCATTTCTTCTTTCCTTCGTTTGTTCCATGGTTTGTTCATTCATTCAAATTGTCATTCATTCATTCTTCACTAGTATTCAATAAATCAGTCACCTGTGTTGGTTACTTAACTAAAACTGAGAGGCATGGATGATTGCAACAGAGCATTGTCTAGTTCGAAAAAAAATTCATTCAAATACAAAGGAGCAATCATGTGTATGTAACGTTACATGATGGGCGTGGTGCATTATGTAATACTTGAACAAGCAGAGTGGGGAGGGGGGCGGAGTTGGTCATGCAACCTTACGCTGTAACTGTTTTGGTAAAAATCATAATAAATATCATCATTAAGGCGACTAAAACAGCGTGACATTGCATTTCAAGTTGAATGTTCATCGATCAGCAAACCGTTAGACAAAAACGGCAAAAGAAAATTATTGAAGATACGGGATGGCTAGGCTGACGAAACCTAAGTTACTTACCCAAACGGTTTTGGACTGCAAAAAGACGCAAATATGTTGATCTTCTGCCTGTCTGCCTCTCCTCCTTTTGTATAAACTGATTTTATTGATGTAGTCACAACAAAACAGACACAACAGGTTTCTTACCTTTTTCTGTGCCTTGAACTTTGAACTGCCGCTACCTGAAACTAGTCCTCGGTTTGTGTGCGAAGATTCTGCATTCTACTACCGTAAATATAGCCACTTATTGCAACAAAGACATTCGAGTCAATGAAAATCCTTATTTGAACCAAAAACAATTAAAATGGGAGAGAAAGTTAAAGATTTTTTCCACAGTAACCGATTCCCAACATTTTAAAAACGAAAAGAGATATGAAACTAAAATATTTTAGTCACAATTCGGGACCCACTCGAACTGTACGATACGTGTAACGCCGGTATGAGACTAGAATATGTTGGATTGCCCGGATGTGAAACTCCGGTGTGAGACAGTGTTGTGACTGTGAGTCAGTTCCCTGACGTTCAGTCGTCAGACGACAGTTTACACAAGTTTTTGAGGAAAAACAGGCAAAGTTATACTCTTAGGAGTATTTTGGAAGTTCTATTTTACTTTTTGGCGTGTAAATACTTCGGAAAGTCGCCATGAATCGTCTGTTCGGCCGCGGGAAACCCAAAGAACCCCCACCCAACCTTACCGAGTGCATCTCAAACGTAAGTATGTCATGTTTTGGAAATATTTCTTCGATCTTAAGAGTCTAAACGTACGATAGCTTCAGTATTTAAGATTCAATATTGCTTTTGTAGATAGACGTAGCGGCCTAGAACTATCTGCCAACTAGATATTTCGTATGAAATTGATTTGTAACATAGGTCATGTCACAAATATGATATTTACATTTTGCATAACGTCATATCACTCATATGCTTGTTACAGTAACTTCCTTTTTGAATGATCAGGCTTTTCTTTGAATCAAGGAGAACTTTATAAAGTACTGTTTACCAACTTGCTATTTAACTTGCTAAATGTGCAATAAAAATGGTATTGTCATTAATATGATATGGCCCTTGGCTGTTTCTTTGACTGTTTCTGAACAAATAAAGAGATGAAAAAATGATCTTGCCAGGTGGACAGTCGAGGAGAGTCGATAGAGAAGAAGATCTCCAAACTTGACCTTGAGCTGAAGAAGTATCGAGACCAGATGAAGAAGATGCGAGACGGACCTTCTAAGGTACCGGAAGGGATCTTAAGATTCTGATAAACAACACCTGCTATAAGTATAACTCTCTTAGGGCAAAGATAATTCTCTATTCTGAAACAGGTTAGAAAATTATGTACTTCATTTTCCAAATGTTGAACCTAGATAAACGTTCTGTTTTGTTTCAGAACATGGTGAAACAGAAAGCTCTGAGAGTTCTCAAGCAGAAGAAGACGTGAGTTTGTCGTTGCACATTTCCTGTCTATCAGACTATGAGATCTAAATTTTGGAAGTCAATTTTTCTGGTGGTACATAGAGCAAAAGCATGAAGATTCCCATAACTTCCTAGCTGTTATAACATACGTTTTCTCTTGTGTTTTTCCTCAGCTATGAGAACCAGCTGGACAACCTGAGGTCCCAGTCCTTTAACATGGAACAGGCCAACTTCACCACACAGATGCTCAAGGACACAAAAACTACGGTACACATAAAAAAAGAAACATTCTTTTTTCTGTAGGCTGCTCAATTTTTGTAACTACCAAATAGAAATTATCAGATAAAGCTTTATACTTATAGTTATTAATGCATATACTTGTGTTGTGTTCACTTGTGTAGTTTGATTCACTTCTTGGTTTATTGTTTTTTTTTTTTGTTTATCCCAGGTTGATGCCATGAAGGTGGGAGTGAAAGAAATGAAGAAGGAATACAAGAAGGTCAACATTGATGAGATAGAGGTAAGTTGCAGTGTAAATATAACGTTAGCCAGTTGAAGACATATTTGCCAGGGTCATGACCAGTGGAATGTTCCCAGGATCAGAACAGGAACAGATGGAGGACATGATGTAACTTAACCAGCCTTTAATTTTTTTCCAACAGAAAAATGAACTAACTAAAAGAGAAAGAAAAAAAATTAGATTGAGATATGTTTTGCCTAGGTCATGACCTATAATGTACTTCTAATCATTTAGTGCTCTTGTTCCCAGGACCAGATAAATACATGATGGAACACCTTTCTTTAAACAGAAGAATGAACAAAATGAAAAAGAACTACATGTAAGACTAGTTTGAGAAATTTCTTGCCAAGGTCATGACTCATGACCTTGAGTGTTCTGTGTTCTTGTTCCCAGGACCTGCAGAACCAGATGGAGGATATGTTACTGGTGTATAATGACCATAACGTCCTGTTCTTGTTCCCAGGACCTGCAGGACCAGATGGAGGACATGATGGAGCAGGCCAATGAGATCCAGGATGTGATGGGCAGGAGCTACGGGATGCCGGAGATCGATGAGGACGAACTCGAGGCTGGTCAGTACCAACAACCTGTTTGTTTGTTTGTTTGTTTTTGTTAGCTACCAGCCCAGAATAGAACAAGAAATAGCCATGCCTTCAAGTACCAGAGTTATCAACCAAGGATTGAGGTGTTCAAGAAATCATTCTTTCCTAGAACTATCGCAGAGTGAAACTCGCTGTCACCAAGTACAGTAGGGGCATAGCTTTAAACAATGTCTAGAGTTAGATGTTCAAGGGTTAGGTGTAACAAGTCGATCGGTGTAATGTAGCCAGCTGCTGCTGCACCGCGTGCCTGCGAAGCTGGTGTGTTATGCCAAAAGGCGGTTATACTGGCTATACAGATACAGAACAACCTGTTTGTTTGTTTTTGTTTTTGGTTCATTCCTTTGTGTACTACAATAGCTGCAAATTGAACAGGCCAGTAGTTGTGGGGAGAAGTGCATTGAAATACATCCTTTCACACTTCTCAAAAAGAGTAGGAATACTTTTTGAATGTGTGTGTGTGGCTCAAAGCTTGCAGCCTGGTCTTACACAGTTTGTGTAGATAGTAGAAAATTGTTGTGTTGTGCCTAAAGGTGGATTACCGGTTATGCGAAACAAACGAACAAAAATGTATTATTGTGGCTGTTTGTACTATAAGCTGTTTTATCCTGCAGGTGAAGGTTACCTGCCGTGGGTTGTTTGTTTGTTTGTTTGTTTGTTTGTTTGTTTGTTTACCTGTTTGTTGTTCTGTGCTGCAGAGTTAGAGGCCCTGGGAGATGAGATGTTTTTAGATGAGGATGAAGGTTATCTGGACGAGGCTGTCGGTGCTCCGTCTGTTCCCTCTGACAGCATCAGGGACGGAGGAAAACCCAACCAGGTCTGTTTGTTTGTTTGTTTATTTATTAATTACTCAAGATACATGTAACAGTAACTCAAGCACCTACTGGCTAGATAGATTGTGTTTGCTTTTTAAAAAATCTATCCAGTTGCTTGAGTAATTGTTTACTTGTGTACATTGTATCTTATAATAACTTCTATTATGTTTATTGAACAAGTGAAGGAAACTGATCTATACTAGTCTACAAAATACTGTAGTATGAGACTTAAGTATTATATATTTGTCAGTTTTTGCTGGAATGTCCAAAGTTTCCTCTTAATCTTTTGTCTGATCTACTTTACAAAAGATTAAGTGGTAGGTACTTGAATGTACATGCAGTGTTTGGTGGAATGTCTTCTTAACTTTTCCCATCTCTTCTGTCCTACAGGAAGGAGTTCTGGTGGATGAGTTTGGACTTCCTCAGATTCCCCAGTCATCATGAGCCCCCCCGTCAATCATCTGTCAATCAACCTGTCAATCATCCCCATCACCTGTCAATCATTGGACATTTTCAACATTTAGGCCAGATCAATATATTTCCTTGGTTTTTGGACATTTTATTTTGTGAAAATACACTGACAGTGGATATCAGTATAATCTCCAAGCAGATCATACGGTAGCAAGGCAGTATCCATTGGTCAGAGGAGTGTCAGTTAGCCACTGGATTCTGCCTGGCCAATTTGATACCGTCTTTTGTGGCAACTGAAAGATCTGCTTGGAGATTATATCAGTCAAGCTAAGAGTACAGGGAGAAAAACTTGTATATGCCTGTATTCACTCTGTAAACCTGAGTACACAAAAAGGCATAAACCTTGTCCTCAGGCTTGGTTTCATTATGTTTTTTAGTCAAGCATATCTTTGAAAAATCTGAGAACCAACAAATAAAATTGGTTTGGCCTACTAGTATATTATTATTATACAGCTGTAGTAGATGTGAGATGTAGAAATGTATGAAATGGTTTATCGCTATATGAACTAGAGTGGCTTCTGGGAAGTAATTGATATGGTAGTAAATACATTTGTAGTTAAATCGGGTTGGTAATTCAATGGTTAACAAAGTTGATAATGACTATTATAAATCAATCAGTTGTATCAGCAAATGTTTTGGTGTTGAATTTAACATACTAAAAGGGTGAGAAAACTTTAGTTTGATTTTGAGTTTATGACTACTAAAGGTGATGGAAAACTTTCTGTAGATAACAGATTTTGCTTGCACATTGATAGATTGTTTTTGTATATTTAAGTGTGTTTTTTTACAAGGTGTAAGTGGATAGTATCATGAAGAAATTGAAAACCTGCTGTATTGGTTATATGTGTAAGAAGAAGTCAACTTTTACTTCTGTTGCTTGGGTGTTAAGAGAAGTAGGCTGTATCCATGCCTAGAATTTGAGTTGAGAAAAAAAGCCAACAAACATGGAAGCAAAGGACTTTGAAATGGTTAGACTTTTGCCAGAAGGATTCAGCAATGAGAGAGCTTTGATTTAAAGTAAAGTTGTCTGCTTTACAAAAATACTTCATAAATAGACTCAATGTAAAAAACTTCTTTGGTCTGTAATAAAATCACAGCTGGTAAAAATTAATGCCAAAATTTGTAGCCATGGAAATGTTTCGAAGCCAATGCTGGTAGAATTTTGTACCACAAGGAATTTAACGATAATTCATGCATGTTTGCTGTACAGGAATATAAGCATTTGTACCCCCAATAGTAGCGTGCTTTGGTATATAATGATATGATATGAATTTTTATTGCATGTTCTTGCCCAGATGGGCTAAATGCACAAGAGGATATGCAGTATGCACAAACATGATTATTACATACTGGGACACTATATTCTAATGCAAAGTGATAAGAATCTATACACTACAACAATACTATATACTACCTATCATCTACTGTTAGTTGCCCTTTCTTCTCTCTTTTTGAAACATTTGGAAACATAATTGTACATGCATATTCTTTCACATGGTAGACTTTGGTTTAATGGACCACCTAGTGGTTCCCTATAGAACTGCAGCAAAGAGAAGACAGTCAGGAACCCCTCATGCAGAGCCAAGGCCATAGGAAGATAGTTGAAAACCCCCATGTAGAGTCACAGTAGCGTGAGCCTTCTAATAGCATATATAACTGTACAAGGTACTGCCACTGTAATAACTGTGCTTATGGCAGTCATTTTTTTGCTGTTTCAATCATATATATATAGCTTGTACTAGACTATTTCCTCTAGTTGTTCTGCAAAATTGTTTTATATATCATTATTGAATAAATTATGATAGCCAAAAAGTATCTATAACATCTGTTTTCTGACTCTCTTTGGTATTACATATATAATTGCACTCTGTGACTTATTTTGTCCTTCAATAAATACTTGTTCTTACTTCAATAAATACTTGTGATAAATTCATTGAATCAGAATGAATGGATTTTTAGACTGTTCAATTCCCTATATTATTACTCTTACAGGCAGAAAGAAAACCTGCTTCTTTATTTCTGATACATACTTCCTTTTATTAATTTTATTTCCTCCGAAACCCTCCATCTTATTGCATGCATTAGGATGCACACAGCAAGAAATCGCCATGGATCAAAAGCGCCCCTAGCGGCAGAAAAAAATCACTGCAGTAATGGAACTGCACCTGACCCTGACACGGTCTCAATTTAGCGCCGCCCAGTGGCGGTTAGCGGTACTGCAGCCATTGGCTTCCATGCACAGTACACAATCATGCAAACTGTGTCATGGCAAGCATGATCGTACTGATTGTATCTCAATTAAGGGGAAACGGGTCTAGCAGCGTTAGATCATGAGATAATCATACAAATTTAAATGAGGAAAAGTCTGACAATTTCTGGCTTCTATTAAAGGCGGCCATGTTCCGTAGGATTTGAGCCGTAAAGACAGCCCTCCGCCAGCCCGTGAGATGCCGACCAGGCCCATTTATCAATACTGTAATGTTATAAAAAAAGTGACGCTGACAATCACAACAAAACTTTTCCTACCTTCATATTTTTCGATGCCAGGTTGTCTAAATGGCTGCCCTGTGACGTGAGTGGAGGAACGTCCAACTTTGTAAATGGTGGACGGTAGCCACTGGCTGCAGTACCTTTATCCGCCACTGGGCGGCGCTAAATCAAGACCGTGTAAGGGTCAGGGTCGGCCCGATTGTGGCAATGGGAGAGGGAGGCATTGGCTGCAGTACCTTTACCCGCCACTGGGCGGCGCTAAATTGAGACCGTACCACGGTGAAGCCTGACGTCGGTAGTTTGATCATGAGGGTAAACAAATTTGCTTCAGGGAAACGCGATGGGCTCTTAAGGGGGTTTTACTCAAAGTTTTTTTCGCTCTCGTTCTTGACCTTGAGACTATTTGTAAGAACCAAAATAGAGGGAATTAATAAGGAAAGAACCGTTTTAGTCTTGCAAATGCTTATTTTGAGACAAACATTCATAGAACGACTTTTACTAGTGGCTGCATACGGAGCTTTTTCGTCAATATTTCTGCAATTTTAACTTTAACTTTCATGCATATAAAAAAACTCTACAAAAACGTACACTTTACTGAAATTAAAAATCGTAACACAATTCTAGACAGCCTACTACTCAGTTGAAATATTTGCGATTGCTTACTAGAAATTTACAGATCAACTTTATCAGTTCAGTGAGCCATATTCTTAGCAAAAGAAGCATTACAAGTCAATGAGTTGTACAAGGTTTCTTATAACAGCGCGAAATACAAAAATATACATAAAATGGCAAACTAGTCCTGCTGTATATAATAACATATATAACACAATCTGCACACTGATCAATTCAAACAAAAAGCAAATCTATATTTCTTCACACATCTACTTTCATCTATAACTTAATTGCAACTAGATCTTTGAATTAAGATATCATCAAAAGACTTGCTTGCATATTTGCACTTTTTGTGCAAGATTTTTATATTCTTGCACTTTTTTTTCGAGATTTGGCACAAAATAAGCATGAATCACTTTCACAAGTGGCAGATATATTTTGGGAAGACAACTAAATATAAATACTCTTACTTATCTTTGCAAACAATGAACAACACATACATATTGCTCCAGAAACAACATCCAATATTGAAAGCCACTTTGCATGTCTTTGAATGTAAGTTAAATTCCTACGCTAACACAGAATTTCATCTGAAGGCCACATAAAGTTATCTTGGAAGTTCATCTGTGTTGGTAGAAGTCATTATGAAATGAGTTTGAACTGCAATTGGCAACATAGGAAATTGGACTTAGAACAACGTTGTGTTGTGTTGTATTGGCAATTGCAGTTCAAACTCATTTGATAGCCACATAAAGTTATCTTGTTGGTTATCGAATGACTCAGCATTGAGGGATGTAGTGACTGCCTGAGCGTACAATTCTTAGTCTCCTCCAGACTTCTTTTGCAGGCTGAATAAATCATAGAAATCGGCCTAAAAAGGGTATTAATTGGCAAGAGAACCGGGCACCTGCCATCGACAATCAAATTGGCCAGCTACCTTCTTCAACAAACTTTTGTCTCAGACTCTGTTTAGGTTCTTCTAGTTCAGAATCAATTCCAGATAGACTCCAGAACCAGCAAACTAACTTGTTGTGGCCCAACAGGAGAGATAAAATCACAACAAAGTTTCAACAAATCAACCTGTCATGGATCTGGAGTATCAAATTCCTTTTTGTCCTGCAACTAAAGTTATGATCCAGAAAAGTATCAGAAAGATCGAATCACATTTTGCATGAGCCTTTCTCAATACACATGAATTATCTTTGTCATAAGTACATGAAGGGTATTTTACATTTTTTGCTTAAAGTTTCTTTCTACATCAATACCGTGAAAATCTTTATACATATACATATTACCCATAAGAAAGTTCAAATATCACGACGTTGCATCATTTTCACTCTTTTTTCTTGATAATTTTAGTATTCACATTCTGTACAACACCGGTCATATTGAACAACTTTACTATAGAAAAGATATTTCTTCTACCATTTATAGCTAAGTACAGTACATGTATATACATCTATTACACAGTGAAATTCTCACTGAACTATGCATCAGTTTTTCACTTATAGTCATGGATAAAATAAAATCAAGGTTTTGAAGCCTTTGCTATTTCATAAAAGGATTAAATCTTCCATTCATATATTACACAAAGAATGTAACCGACATTTGGGAATGCTAAACATACATACAGTCAAGTGATGTGTCTCTTCTTTAGTCAAATTTTTAGTTCACTTTGTAACACATTAATCATACATATATATACATTGTTTAACCTTCTTCTTTTTTTTTTTTTACTACTGCCTAACCCTGTAACCAATACAAGTCTGGTGACAACAGGCTACAGCAGCAATGAGAAGGTTAACCCTTGTCCTGCTGGCATTTTTTACACAACGTTTTCAGATAATTTGATGTCGTAATCAGGTCACAGACCCTTGACTTGTTTTTCCCTGTAGTAACGTAGTTACTTCCGCATTTGTTGCATTTTGCTGCGGTGTGATGCGTTGCACGAGAAACACCCCCAAATCGTACCTATACAGGGCGCTATATATGGTACTGTATGTGCAACCCATATATATATATATATATATGGGTCCTGCAGGACATGGGTTTTGATATTATATCTTTCTGTCATGGTAAGTGATGATATTGCTGGTACATTGCACCAGCTTAAGTACTGTACCGTAATATTTACTTATTCTTGCTGAAGGACAACACTTTGTCTTGATATAGTCTTAAGGATGCACCTGGTATCTTAGATGTGTCCGTTCCTCGGCCTGTGCTTGAAGTTCTTCTCCAAGTTCAAGGTGATTTCTCTTTGAAGGTTTGGGACAGTCTGAAGAAAAGAACAAAAGGAAATGTTACCGACATTGACACATACATGTACATTGTAACATTATGCAGGGTTCAAAATACTTTTTTTTCTGCATACCTACGATCAGTAGACTGCTTTATCTAGAAACAAGCTCAAACACAGTTCTGGATAGTCCATGTGTATCCAGAACCATGCCTGGGGCAACTCTACATTCTTGGATACGCGGAGACTATCCAGAACCGTGCCTGATCCTAACCCTAACCCATTCATGCATAGAACTACATGTAGATAGGCACGGTTCTGCCTACAATAGGCATAGTAGGGATAGCCCTGGATGTGTAATACATTTAACTGTGAGTCAGCACTAAGGACAGGACCTGTACACAACATTTTACACCAGTTATTTTGGCTGTCTCCATTAGATTAATAAAAATAGAATGAATTCCATCACAGTCACATCAGTTCTTGATAAGCACATCTGACTGTGAGTTCAGCACCAAGGACAGGACCTGCGTATAACATTTCACTCTAGTTATTTTTTTGGCTGGATCCTGTATTAGGTGGATGATTCACAGATGATGTGATGAATTGTACCATGCAAGGTTCTCACCTTGAAGTTCCCCTCGGAGCGTATCCATGGGTGCTGTAGGACCTGCTGGGCCGTGTACCGCTGCTGAGGCTCCACCACCAGCAGGTGGTTAATCAGGTCCTTCGCAGCTGGAGGGGGAAGGTCAAACGAAGGTCATTTGAAGGTCAAATGAAGGTCAAATGAAGGTCAAATTAAAGTTGATTTACAGTTGATATTCAATTATAGGTATATCTATGGTACCCATTTTCTGTGGTTAATCAGGTCCTTCGCAGCTGCAGGGGGAAGGTCAAATGAAGGTCAATTGAAGGTCACTTCTAGGTTTATTGACAATTTTACTGAATGCTAGTACATTTACTGAACCCTTTTTCTCTAATTGTGAAGCTCAAAACAAAACAAACTTACAATTGGAGATATCTGATTTGATTTGATTTATTGAAATTGCAACAGTACAATACATGCGGAACAGAGGCAGCTGTTGCTGGTGTTGTGTCCCGCACATAGAAACAAATACTGGACAGACAATACTCATTTTCACTGAGGTTTAGTGGGGAAAGTCGTGTAAAGTGCCTTTCCCAAGGGTACAAGATCGGTGACACGGGCAGGATTCGAACCCGGGACCTCTTGGGCCTGGGCTGAACATGCTACCGCTACGCCACAGGACCCAACAAGTTCTAGTATTCACCACATTGGAGAACAAAACAAACAGACAGACAGACAGACTCACAGTCGGAGATGTTGTCCCAGTAAGGCGACAGGAACTCATACTCTCCAGTCTGGATAATCTGGAACAGTTCCTCCTGGTCCCTCTCCAGACTTCGGAAGGGTGGGAACCCGCACAGAAGGATGTACGTGATCACACCAGTCGCCCACATGTCCACCTCCAGCCCGTAACCTAGGCAACACACAAACAAACATGTAAACAACATATTACACAGGCCCACAGACAAAAAAACAAACACACAGGCTCATATGACAACCTCCAGGCTGTCACCTAGGTAATAACAAACAAATAAACAAACATGCAGCAAGGAACTTGGAAGTACTGATGTCTCTTTTTTATGTCACTAGACTATTTTACAGTTACAATAACATATACATGAATATAACATAGAGATAAATTAGCTGTTTGCAAACGATCATATTTAGAGCTCCTTCAAGATGGAAACTCCACAGACATGATAAGCAATTCAAGGTGCATTCTTAAGGTTCGTCATCATCTTCTTAAGGTGACCACCAGGTGAGACTACTCACCTTCCTCTCCCAGAATCTCAGGTGCAACGTAAGTGGGGGTTCCGCAGACGGTGAAGATGGGTTCGATGACCTCCATGGCCAGGCCGAAGTCCGCCAGCTTCAGGGTGTTGCTGCCGTCTCGGTTTCTCTGGACCTGCGGGGAAAAACAAATTTTAAATTAAAGTTATCTCGATCCAGTTTTAGCTGCTAAGACACCTTGTATGTTGCTGTAATGTTTTGTCATGTCTTGTCAGCAGGACAAGCCCTTTGTAATAGCCTCTGGCTAGTTGGGGTGAGGGTGGAACAGTCAACTTTTTTTTAAAGTCCAACTATGTGTGCATTTGGGAATTTTCAATGACAACTAAAGATTCTGAAGTACATGTAACATTTGCAAAGCAAAATGCATCATGTTTACCTTCAGACATGAACAGTCAACTTTTTATTTACAGAAGTCCAACTTTGTGTGCTGTGCCAAAGGTATGACCAGTGAGTCATTCCGCATTCTCTCTACCAGAAAGTTTTAAAATAAACAAGGAAGTTTAAGAATTAACGACCATCTGAGACACCGATTCCTGCTTTTTGTAGGACAAAGCTTCTGTTACAGACTTCCAGTCCAACCTAGTTCATGTCATTTCATTCCATTCCAAATTATTTTGGCTTGGCTCAGAGGAAAAGATGTTAGATGGGGAAATCAGGTCTATGAGCTACCAACTACAGTGGCAGCCAGTTAATTGCAAAACGCTTATAAGAAAAAGTCTGCTAATTGAAAAGAATTGTGAAAACCCAAACCGTTTCCCATTGACACCATTGTTTATCACGCCCCTTATTTGAAAAGCCAATGCCGGCTAATTGAAAAAAAATTGTCAAGTTGCAACACATTTTCAAACAAAAACATGCCAAACAAATCACCAAAATTGGCGGAAAATTTCTTATATCAAGACATCAAGCTGCCAAAAGGGACGAAGTTGTCTGTTTTGAACCACAAAGGAGGCCGAAATTTACGTTGATCGAGCGGTCGGGCGCACATCGGCACTACGTAATGAGAAGCGCGAGCCGGTTCATAGCCGCCAAATGCGGCATGCTTTTGTGTTCTTTTAGCCTGTTTATTCCAAGAACGTTTAATTTCTCATACAACTCATTTTTAATCATCAAAACCATGTCTCTACTTGTGTACTGCGCCATTATTTTGAGTTTATTTCGACTGCGACACGGCGCTATCGCCGCATCAACACGCCAAATGTGCCGCGAAAAACACCGCATGGAATGATGGGATACTGCTACCCACGCCGCGTCCGCCATCTTTGTTTACTTCCCTGAACGCTAATGCGAGAGATCCCCGTCAACTATCGCAAATTTCCATGTAACCTACGGACATCGTGAGCTAAAAAGTCATTAACATTGAAATGAACAGTTTATTGTTGCATTAGTTACGATAATTTTCGTGTGCTAGCCGGAGTTTCTGAAAATTAAGCGATCGAAGTGATCCTTTGTGCTATCGACTGCTTTCATGACGATCGTCTGCATTTTGTCTGTACGCTACTTGATTGAAGTTTTCCGTTAATCAAACTTTATTTTTTGCTACTTTCGTGATGTAAAAGTATGTACAGGCTGATGATTGTGCATGTATTCGTTGCTTGTTTTGTACGTAGCAAACGTAGCATTGTTTATTCGTTCGAGTAGAGCCTGTCGATAGCACATGATGTCTAACGTATCGCGGCGTTCTTCCAGTCTTGGAAAAACGAAAAAAATACATGTGTACGTCAACGAAAAAATTAAAGCAAATTTACCGATCTCAATAAAGTTCACTGTTTTTAATGCGTAAATGTGACTCGTGTTTGTATTCTTTGTGTCGTTATGTGTTCGATGCCCTGTCCACCCCCCACCCCCATAGTTTCAATGAAGGCCGAGAGTTTGAGCCTCAGAGTCTCTTAATCGGAAAGGCCGGGTATTTGAAAAAAATGTGCTGACAAATTGGCTTTTCAAATAAGCGGCTTCTACTGTACAATGTTTACATGACTAATGTCAAACATTCAAACAAGAGATATCCGTGCCTCACCAGTAGTTTTTCAGACTTGAGGTCCCTGTGAACAATGTTTTTACTGTCACAGTTCCTATTTTGTATACCAGTACCTGTAGTTTATATGTTGTATACAAAGTCGATAAAGTTTAGACATCCAGGTAACGAGATACATGTGTATGTTGCATATATTGTTGGAAATTATAAAAAAATATAATATCAGTGTCTCACCAGCAGGTTTTCGGGCTTGAGGTCCCTGTGGACGATGTTTTTACTGTGCAGAAACGCCAGAGCGCTGACCAGATCCTTCACCATGGAGGCCGCGTCTCTTTCCGTAAACTTCACGCTTTCTGTGATCGCATCAAACAGATCACCTCCCTTCACGTACTCCATTACCTGAAACAAACAAATGAAATGAAAATGAACTCACCAGATATTTGTTTGGAGCAGAAGAGAATAAACTGAGCAAAAACAATAATATTTTCCTTTGGTAAGGCCACACCAATTTAATTTGTTGGTTCTCGGATTTGTTGAAAATATGGTTAACTGGAAAAACCTAATGAAAGCAAAGTCTGAGGACCTGGTCGATGCCTCGGTGGACTCAGTGTTATGTAGTAAATATAGCCATATTATTCTAGTTTTTTTCCTAGCCCTCTCATTTTATGATGTCTGCTTGCTATCTTTTGAACTGAAATATATGAGAACCAACAAACTGAATTGGAGTGGCCTAAACAAGATAAATAAAATGAAAATGAACTCAACAAGAGGCCATATACATCAGGGCCCATCACCTTTCATTGAACCATGACAGGGGCCGACATCGTCTACCAGATACCTTTGACCCAGTGTTGACGTCACACTTCAAAGAAGCCACATGACAAGCCTCATCATCACTGGGTCAGTCTACTGAGGAAGACCAGAGTGACTGGTCGAAAGCTCTAGGTGAGAGAACTTTTTATTGTGTTGGACCAAAAGTTTTAACTCACCAGATAGATGTCGTGTTCAGATTCGTACTCCTCGAACAGTTGCACGATGTTCTCGTGCTGGCAGTGCTTCATGATCGCGATCTCATTCTCCACCATGTCCTCCTTTCCTCGCAGCTTGGACTTGTCGATGATCTTCAGCGCGTACTCCGAATCCGTGTTCTTCAGTTTCGACTCCTTCACGACCGCGAAGTTCCCGTCCCCGATCGTTTTCCCGATTTCGTAACGAGCTTTCATCTCCTTCTCTGTCACCTGCTTCCGCGGGTCCACCTGTGGAAGGAATGGATGTATGAATAAGGCCATGTTGATTTGATTATATGGATGACATCCACGCGCGCATGAATTTTCGGCCGTTTCAAAAAAAAAAAGTTTTCAACCATACTGTAAATCGTACAAAACAGTTGCAAAATGAGCAAAAATAAACCATAAGTTACAAAAAAAAATTAAGAAAAACTATACCAATGTCGTAGAATGCCAAAATCAAACGAAAAAAGACGAAATTGTAAAGAAATGAACTTGAAGACTAGATTATTCGCCAAACCATATTCTGTGCCATTTGCTCAACCCTCGTGACCACGTAGATTTCAGAATGAAAAGAACTTTTTTTTTTTTTTGCAAAACTTTTTATTTATTCGCACGCGCGCATCAGTTTTGGGGCTCCCGGAGGATGTCATCCATATACCTATCTCATACTAGCCACCCACTTATATAGTGAGATTTACCTTGAGTGCAGCTATCCTTGCTACTATTTTGTTGTGTACTGATGAATACAAAAACAAAAAACAACACCTACCTTGTGTTTTGACAGCCAGGTCTTCGGTCGGTAGCCCTTCGTGTCGTCTCCCATCGTAAACGCTCGGCTCTTCGCTTTCTTAGCCTGCTGGTCCTTCGACGACTTCGCCCGCGGACCGTTCTGGAAGTTTCTCCCCCGCTCCAAACCTGTGAAATTTCTTCGTATTTACTGATCTTCTTTGTTATACCGGTGCAATCGCTCAATTGGTAGAGTGCTCGCTAGAAGCAACTCTTTTTTTTTTTGAACAAGGATTTTTGTCTGTGGGTGAAGACCCAGTCTGACCCAGACTGACCCAGAGTGAAGACCCAGTCTGACCCAGACTGACCCAGAGTGAAGACCCAGTCTGACCCAGTCTGACCCAGACTGACCCAGTCTGACCCAGAGTGAAGACCCAGTCTGACCCAGTCTGACCCAGACTGACCCAGTCTGACCCAGACTGACCCAGAGTGAAGCTTGTCATGTGGCACAACATGTAACACAGGTTGACACAGATTGAAGATTGACAGGCAGCTGTGAGCCACTGATTGCCCACTAAATTGTTTCTTCCATGTATATGTACAATCAAGTGGGTATTGCTCACAACAGCACATTATGAAAAATAAAAAAGAATAAATAAAAAAACAAACCATCATGCAGCCGGGATAAGTCCTCGTCGTCCGACCAGTTGTGTCCGTTCTGTTGTCTCTCCGGTTTCCACCGCCCGCCCGCCGGTCTGTGGTCCTCATCCGCCCACCTTCTCCTCTCTTCCTGCCTCTCTCGTTCTCTCCTTCTGTCCTCCTCCTCCCACTGCTTTCTCACTCTCTCTCGCTCCTTCTCCTGCTGGAGTCTTTCTTCATCACGCATTATCTCCAACTGTCGTTCCTCCTGAATGAATGAATGAATGAATGAATGAATGAATGAATGAATGAATGAAAATATGAATGAATGAATGTTTCTTCATTTAACAGGTATACCAAGCTAGTAGGAGATAGGAGAGTTACGCCTAAAGGCGGTTTACCAGTTATGCGAAACAAACAAACAAACAAACAAACCTCCACCCTCCTCCGTCGTTCCCTCTCCAACTCGTCTTGCCACTTCCTTCTCTCTCGCTCAATCTCTTCCTCCCGGATTCTTCTCTCTCGTTCGATATCTTCTTCTCTCCATCTTCTTCTCCGCTGCTCGTCCTCATCGTGCCACATCCTCTCTCGTTCCTCCATCATCTCCCTCCACTGCCTCTCCTCTTCCCTCCACATTCTCTCTCTCTCCTCGATCTCTCTCTGCCACTCTCTCTCCTTCTGTTCCATCCACACTCGGTACTCCGCTAAATCATCCTGGTTGCCCTTTTTTCTGTCTCTTTTCTTCACTTTTTCCCCTAACGCCTTCTCTTCCTTCTTTCTTCTCTCCTCTTCCCACCTTCTTGCTTTCTCTCGTTCATCCTCCTTCGCTCGTTCCCTTTCTCTCTCCATCTGTCGGGCGAGTTCTCTCTCCTTCTCCACCCTGCTCATTCGCTCCCTCCGTTCCCTGTCCACCTCCAACATTCCGTCGTGTCTGAAGTCGTGGTTGTTTTGTCGGCGCGCCTTCTGTTTCCCCTGGCTTCTTCTGACCAGGTTCTGAGCGTACGGACTGTCCGGGAAAACTTCCTCCAGAATGTCCTGCACGTCGCTCGTGGTTATCTGTTCCCTTCCGGTCGCGATGAACATGTCATCCTCTCGAAAGAAATCCCCGATGCCCCTCACCTCCCTCCCTTTCAGGTTGTACAGCTTCTTGACGTGGTTGTTTTTCCAGCGAGGCTGACCGAGCGCCTCGGATATATCCGCGATCAGCTGCTCGAAAGTCTGGACCGACCGACGATTGAGCAGAATCGTGATCTTAGTTCTCGGGCGGTCGCCGTTTCTCACAACCGTGATGACTTTGGGTTTGAGCGGGCTGTTGTCGGAATGGACGGTGTGGCTGTTTGTACGTTTGGGGGGGCCGAATGTCCCCGACCCGGACTGGGGGGCCCGGCCGAAGGAACTCCTCCCCCCGGTGCTAGGGGGGTACGTGGCGCGGGGGTTGTAATCGTTGTGGAGTGAGTACTTGCCGGTCGACCAGTGGCTCGGATCCTGGATTGGGTTTTTCGCTTCTGGAAGGAGAAAAAAAAAAGTGGTGTGAGACCTAATTATTTCTGTAATGTCATATACTGCAAATGGTCAAATCTTTCAACTTGCTGAACATCTCTGTTAATTATAACCATCTCATGTTGTACCATGTACAATTGTCGAGCAAGAAATTAATTCATTCATATAACTACATTAAATAATTCATTTGTACGGTTCCTGAGACACTGAGTTTCCTTTTCACAGTCTATGTGATGCGTACAAAGTTAGGCCTGTTATACCAAGCCAGCCAACTTTGTAGTAGATGTTGTAGTACAACTCTGAAATTCCTGCAGTCATTGGTTGACACTAGATGTAAAATCTGAAGTCCTGCAGAGTGTCCTTGCGAGGCACACTACCCATCAAATTGCTAACAAAGAAAAAAAGGGCAACCAGACTAAATTCCTTTTACATCATCAACAGAAGCGAATACTATTCCCAAAAACCAGTAGATGTTGGTTTGACAACAGTTACTCAGAAATTCCTGCAGTCTTCGGCAGTTTTCTGATTAGCCCAGTTCTAAAAAAACGGGAGTAATTCAACCAGGCCAGCTATGTTGTCTATATGCAATCAGAAAATAGCACATAAAAGCTCCCAAAGACCCTGAAGACCCCCAAAACCTCCCATGCTATGGAGGCTTAAAGCAGGCACTGGTTTAACAACAGTTACTCAGAAATTCCTGCAGTCATGGCTGTTAGAACCAAACGTCAGAACTGAAGGCCTGTAGAGTGCCCTTACCCTTGCTACGGGGGTGTGAGCAAAGGACTAGTTCAAGTGCACAAACTGGAGAGAAGGGGACAATCCACAATCCAGCCTGGACACGTTTGTAATCTATGGATGTCGGAAAGTTTTTCATGTTTTTACAGAATCATAACAACACAAACATTATTCCATCAAACATGTCAATTTTTGAAAAATCGACACCAAAACTTAACTCAGTCTAATAGAAAAGAAAAACCCTGACAAAAAATATAACAATGGCAGCCGTAAAAGTCAAAGACACTGGCAAAAAAACAATGAAAGAAAAATAAACAATATCACAGGTTTTAGTCCTTAGGACATGTTCTTTTCAAAATTGTCAATCTAAAACAAAAATTTGCACCAAAACTTAACTCAGAGTCTGATATGAAAAGAAAAACCATGATAAAAATATAACAATGGCAGCTGTGAAAGTCAGTCTGGCAAAAAAACAACGAAAGAAAAATAAACAATATCACAGGTTTCAGTCCTTAGATAGGACCTGTTCTTTTCAAAAATGTCAGTTAAAAAAAAAATTTGCACCTGGTCCAAAAAATTAACTCGGAGTCTGCTATAAAAGAAAATTACCTTGATAAAAATATAACAATTTTAGTTGTAAAAGTTAAAGACACTGACAAAAAACAACGAGACAAAAAAATAAACAATTAATATAATCACAGGTTTTCTATCATGAAAGTTCATCTGTGTTCAAAGAAGCCACGTGACAAGCTTCACTGGGTCAGTCTACTGAGGAAGACCAGATCTAGTGAGAAAACTTTTTGTGTTGGCCCTAAAGTTTTAACTTTAAACATCACAGGTTTTCATTGTGAAAACCTGTTCATTTTTTTTCTGGTCATGTGATGCGAGAACGACCCTTGTCGGCCCTCGGCTCTATTCAGATGACGCGGGCCGTTGCCAGGCAAACATCCGCGTTAAGAACCGACGGAGCATGACACGCAGAGGTCAGGGGTCGGGTTCCGGGGTTGCCATGGTGATGTGGAGAGTGAAGCATGCTGGGGTCACCAACCCTGGCCAGTAATGCGATGTTTCCTTTTCATGTACAACAAACGTTCTTATAACAACATCGAAGGCGTCCTACTAACGTGGATAATGTACTTGACTGGATTTAGCATTTACTAAGACTCGAGATTTGTAGAGAAGCTTTTTTTTCTCGAGCTGAAAGAGCTAAAAAAAGTCCAGACTATTATTCACGATGAACAACCAGACAAACAAACTGGTAACCAAGACAACCAGTACGTACAGCCATGGCGCCTGAGTGGAGAAAAGAACACAAAACTATGTAATACATACAACAGCAACTTTCAATGTTACCAAATTACAAAAGCTAAAACAATTGATACGCCAAAAAGCAGTTACTTAACTGTTTTTTGGCGTATCGTTTCACCTGGATGTCTAACCTTCATCAACCTAAAATAATTGAGTTTTTTTTAAGTAGTGTTTCGAAAATTGTCAGTAGAATGGAAGTAATGAACATTTTGAGCTCAGGATAGGCAAATTTAGCTTCAGATTACTAAGGTGTGAAATACCATATATTGTGGCACGTGCCTGTGAAACAGGTGGGCTACTCTGACAAGTCTGACAAGTCTGACAACTTAGTTTGTAACAAGATCTGTTCAGACTAAACAGAAATTGCCTTGTTCTCCTTTTCAACCAACTTGTACTTTCTAGATCCACTGTACAAACGCTGTTTTTGCACCTAACACCAGCTGTATGTACCAATTCTCCTGTCCTGTCAAAGATCCTGGTAACTCTACAGTTTAAGACATTTTACAAACAGACATTCATCCAGTGAGAAACTCCAAATGTGCCCTGCTGGCTTTTGGCTTTGTATTACTTGTAGTACTTACTGATATTACTGTACTGGACATATAAGGCATAACCAGGAAATTTAAAAACTAGCCAGAGCCAATCTATTTATGCTCGTCTACCATTATAACAGGTGTCAATTTTAGATTTTTGAATGCAAGTTACAATCAAACTAGTGCAAGTGACTACCTGTACACAAGGACCACCTGGCTCTAATTCTAGCTGCTTTTTGCTTGCCCCTTTAAGTTAGAATACTTAGATAATTTTCCTATTGACATAAGCATTAAGAATCCAGTCTCTTGTGACCACCTGTCCACATAGACTGGCTTTCCTGAGTGGTCTTCTTGGGTGGGTGATACAATCTATACGTCTTGAAAGCTCTCATTGTAATCAGTTGTAAAGCACAACATTCTTTAGTTCCCCAGACATATACTTGCCCATGCTAACAAGGAAAAAAGGCAACCTGAGACTAACTTCCTTTCACATCTTCTCAGAAGAAGCGAATACTATTCCTGAAAACGAAAACGATTTTGTTAGAAGAAGCCACAGTAAGACTTACTATTGAGTGTGCTGAGTAGCATTTTGTCCCCAGACATATTTGCGATACACACTGCCCATGCTAACAGTAACAAGGAAAAAAGGCAACCTGAAGCTAAATTCCTTTCACATCATCAACAGATGTGAATACTATTCCTGAAAACGAAAAAGGATTTGTTCAAAGAAGCCACATTGAAACTTACTGTGAGTGTGTTGACTAGTAGCCTTGCGTCCCCAGACATACTTGCAATACATGCTGCCCAAAATTATGCTAACAAGAAAAAAGGCAACCAGACTAAATTCCTTTCACATCATCACAGAAGAAGCGAAAACTATGTACTCCTGAAAATGAAAAAGCTCACCCGGGTTTGAGAGAAACCTTTGTGAGTGAGTGAGACTTACTGTGAGTGTGTTGAGTAGCAGCCTTGCATCCCCAGACATATTTGCGATACATGCAAGAAAAGACTAACTACATGTAATGTACGCTGAAATATTCTCTTTAAAAATGCTAACAACCAGACTTTCCAGAACCTTCAGAACTTCCAGAATCTTCAACAGAAGAAGCGAACACTATTCCTGAAAATGAAAAAGGAGTTTCTTACTGTGAGTGTGTTGAGTAGCAGCCTTGCGCCCCCAGACATATTTGCGATACACGCTCCCCATGTCAGGCCTACCCTCCATTCCCCTGTAATACGACGGTGTCAAGTTGGCTCCGACCGAGTGACTCGTGTTCTCACATCGGTACCGCCCGGGTTTTACATGACTCCACTGTCCAAGCTCCGGATTCTCTCGCTTTAAGCTGAACATCCAACAAGCCCACACAATCCCGATCGTCCGTGGCAACAGGTTTGAGAAAAGAGAACCTCTGCGGCGGTGAGTCAGTGTGATTTTAGGAGAAAGCTGCTGTTATTGGTCACTCTGACACCTGTTACAACATGGCAAACTGTCTTTAAACAGCGACAGGACCCCTCGGCGTTGCCAAGGGCAACCGTGCCTGACTGATTCCTCTTTCTCACCTTTTATTCGTCAAACAACCCTCCAAAAACTTCATTTTAAATCTCAGAAGGAATATCCAAAAGAAATTTGCCCGGTTAGTTGACTTTTAGTACACCAGATGATGGAGTTTTAGAAAGAAAGTGCACAAACGTGAGCAGGCACTGTTAAAACGTTAAACCAGCGCCCCAGGAAAAAAGCCCTTGACGGCACTTATGAGTAGTTAAGAAGGTAAGTCTCTTAATGGGTGCTTAGCCGGGCTGTGTTTTCATCTGCAGCGAGCGTGAGCGCACTGCGTAGTTACAAATATTTGTTTACTTGCCAGTCGCACGGTCGGGGCAATTCGACACTCAAGGCGCTGAGTTTAGGTTGTAATTATACTTAACCTTCCGCCCAGGGGCAAACATGCACCTGTTACCTGCTCTTGGCTAGTTTTGAGCTTAAAGTGCAGGTGAAAATGTAAAAACCTACAGTTAAAACTGTAAATGTTGCAGTTTACTGTTACTCTTTATAGAATAACCATTGGATTTTTCCATCCGATGTTTCTATATATATGAACTGATGAAATTATTTGCAGGCGAAACTGTTATACTTTGATTTTCTACACTTTTCTCTTTTTTGGCTTAAAGTCTTACTGTAAAGAACTAGCTTAATTTGTAGCTTGTAATTAGTACAATTCACCTGGAACATGGTAACAAAATACATCCCTGAAAGCTGCCATTGGACAAGAACTTAGAAAACCATATAGATTCAACCTATACATTAGAGACAATTTTGTGTGGATTTCCATCCTTTTCCTCTTTTAAATATGCTCCTTTTCTGCAGAACAAGGTTAATTATTAGCCTGTAATTACAGCATAATTAACCTGGAACCATGGTGACAAATACACCCTTACAACCAGCTATTCGACAGCAAGAACTGGAGTCATAGATGCAATCAATAGATAAAAACAGTCATCATAGGGCCACACCAATTTAATTTGTTGGTTCTCGGATTTTGTCAGAAAACATTTGAAGCGACAGGGCGGGAAAAAAATGAGAATAAAAACACAGGTCTAGGCATCCTATTATACATGTAGCCCCAAATGCTACAATAGGAGCCATGAAGTGAACACAAAAGGCTGGGCTGATATTTAAACAACGAACTTTGAATTTTTAATCAAATCACTGCATTGATATATGGAGAAACTGTAACAGCTATAGGAAGAAAATGACTTTCCTCAACTGTAGTGGGCAAAATATGAGCATTTTTGAGTTGATTCAGAATCAGAATCTTTCAAAGAGGTGAATCCGAGAACCAACAAATTAAACTGGTGAGGCCCAAGTAATCAAAGATCAGACATGACTAGAAAGCCTGAAATGCAAAAAAAGCACAAAACCAGAGGACTTGAGAGGAACAGTTTTTCAGGGTCAAGGGTCGGGTCAGGTCGTGTGTTTGCACAGCGACACTACAAGGTCACGCCATGACTCAAGAAACCAGTCAAGACTCAAGGGCAAGATATGAGAAGATGGAGCCCACCCCTCTCCTTCCACTGCCTTTTACCTCCCCAACCAAAGTCAGGTCGACCATTTTACACCTGGGTGGAGTGAGGAAAGTCATGTTTCCCAAGGAAACAACGTCTAGCCAGGAATGCCAGGAATAAAACTTGCGACTTCGCGATGTTGTTCCCACTAGCCTAACTGCTTGATCATTCAGAGCCACGTCCGATGATATGTGACGAAAATCAAAAAGTGTTCAGAACCTTAAAGTCTGTGCCAAGGTGAAATTCTCGTGTTTAGGCCACACCAATTTAATTTCTTGGTTAACGGATTCGCCGCTTCATTTTTTTCTGATTTGCAAATAAAAATAAAAATTCAGAATCAACTGCAAAATGCTCATATTTTGCCCTGAACAGTTGAAAACAGTCCTTTTCTTACTACTTGTTACAGTCAGTCCATCTTTCAATGCAGTAGTATCATTAAAAGTTCAAAATTCATTGTTTAAATTTTGAACCAGCCTGGTATGTTGACTTCATGGCTCCTATCGTACCATTTTGGGCCATAATAGGATGCCTAGGCCTGTTTTTATTTTTATTTTTTTTCGCCCGCCCGCTCCATTATTTTTCTAGAAAAAATCCGTTAACCAAGAAATTAAATTGGTGTGGCCTTATCTCTAGATACTGTATCCACAACTGACTAGCCTAACCACTGTCTTGGACTTTTCAGAAACGAGAATGTAAAAACAAAGTTTAACTTGGTTATAGAGGTCCTTTCTTGTGTTTGGAACAAAGCTTGAACTCTATAAATATGGATTCTACCAAAACAGATGAGTTTTCATAGTGTTATAAAGTTTAAGCTTTTTCCAACAGACTTAGGAAAGAACTCACCATAAATTTTTGGTTGATCCCGTCAACCTTCGTCAGATGTGTGATGCAATCGCTGACTTTCTGGAAGTTGACGCAAAAATCAACCAAAAATTTATGGTGAGTTCTTTCCTTGTGTTGGAACAAGGCTTGAACTGACTATAACTATGGATTCAACTAAAACAGACGAGCTTTCAATCACAAGTTTGACTTACTAGCGCCGTATCCTGCGTTCCAGTCGACGCGGTATTCCTCGGAGCCGTACTTGATCCTCTGGAAGCGCTCGAACGAGGCGCAAACGTACGACTGTCCGTCCTTCAGCTCATCCACACTCGTGATCTGGGTCCCGCTGATCGGCGTGTAGATTCTCCTTACTCCGTACGGCAGGTTTACAACCTGTGACAGTTAGATAGAGTTATCAACCAAGGATTGAGGTGTTCACGAATTCATTCTTTCCTAGAACTATCGCAGAGTGGAACTCGCTGTCACCAAGTACAGTAGGGGCATTGTCATTAGATAGCTTTAAACAATGTCTAGAGTTAGATGTTCAAGGGTTAGGTGTAACAAGTCGTTTCGTGTAATGTAGCCAGCTGCCGCCGCGCCGCGTGCCTGCGAAGCTGGTGTGTTACGCACAAGGGCTATACCGGCTATGCAGATACAGAAATTGCTTTGATATCAATTATTATCATGTTTATCGTACTTTTCTGTGCTGTAAGTCAGTAGTCAGGGATTCTTAATGATGGAAAAATGTTTAGTACCTTGTTCAGATCCTGTAGCAGCTCCCCGAAGGTGAGATATCGATGCGGGGTGATGCGAAACTTTCTCCCGTGGAAGTACAGATATTAAAATAATCATATAATAATTATGTATAATTATGTATAATTATAATGATGATAATTTTGGGTTCTAACCTTGTTGAGATCCTGTAGCAGCTCCCCAAATGTCAGATATCGATGTGGGGTGATGCGGAACTTTCTCCCGTGGAAGTAACGGTCTCCGTTCTTGTAAAATCGGACGCGTTTGGGTCTGCGGAGGTCCTTGTACGTGTCGTCGGTGATGTCGCGAAGCTCCTGAGAAATCTTCCCGTCCGTGAAGCGACTGGCCATGGCGGTCATTCCTGCGCCCTTCATCCGACCTTCACAACTTCTCCTCCCCTCCTTCTGCTCGGAAAATACAGTGAAGACAATTATTAATATCAATTTAATGATAATAATAATGTCACTATCCGTTTATCGTCTCGCATTCCCCGTTGCTCGAGGTTTGGACGTGGAATGTTGCCCTGGCCTGATTGCTGCTCTCCAGCTGCTTCTGTCCTGTGGGTCAGCCTTTTGAAGCTTCAGTAATGATAGTAATGATGTAATGATAATGATTTAATGATAATGATAACGAAGAGTGGCCATGGCGGTCATTCCTGCGCCCTTCATATGACCTTCACAACTTCTACCGAGCCTCCTCCTGGAGGTAAAACAGGGTCAAGGAACTTAAAAAACTCTGGGAATTTCTAAACACCTAGTAAAAGAGACATGTAAATGATAGATGTGGATATTAGTGGTAACATACATTTGTAGGCTATGGTTTTATTTGTGCACCTGTTTTGTATATGATTTAATCACAAGATGAGAATATGATAGACTAACGTAGTGGTAGCATAGTTTAATATGTATATGTAACTGTTTTGTTAATGACATATAGTATAATGCATGTACAGAATAGTGACAACATACAGGTTCATAAACTAAATAGTTTTGTCTGCTCTCGTTTATCAAGACTACAGCTAATGATGTTTTACCTTTAGACTCTGTTCCAATAGCCCAAGTGGGTTTTACCTTTAGACTCTGTTCCAATAGCCCAAACCTAACTAATGCAATAAAGATCATTCATTTGTTCATTCACTCCTGGGTTCTTGCCCCTGCAAAAACTAAAGATATCTAGCTTCTGGTACAAAGGCAAGATTTCTAACCACCGAGCGATATGCACTACGTGCAAACTGTGTACTAAAGGTGTTTTACAAGTAACAGAGTCAACAAACTAATTGTTTCTCAACTCAAAAAATTTGTGTCCCTTGCAGGGATCCACACAAAAAAAGGCTAGGGTCGGCAGTTTTTTCTAGGCAAGGGTCTGTCAGAAAACAAGAAACACACCATTTTTTTCCTAGGCCTTACGTGCAAAACTGTGTGTACTAAGCTTTTACACGTAACAGAGTCAACAGACAAAGGTGTTTCTCTGCGTAACATGTCGGCTTTACATCCTTACCTGTGTCTACCTGCTCAGGTTACCACTAATCCAGATTATCCCTACACACAACTGTGTAAAGCCTGGCCTTGTGAAAGGGTTCTGCTGTATTGTACAACAACAAGGCCATTAGGACAACGAGATTTCTGTATAGCCTCCGTAGCAGGCTTATAGAACTGAGGGTTTGGTGGTTTTCGGCTGTTTTCTGATTCAAGCCCAGTTCTAAAAAACAGAGGTAATTCAACCAGGCCGGCTATGTTGTCTATATGCAATCAGAAAATAGCACATAAAATCTCCCAAAGTCCCAAAACCCCCAGTTTTTATATGCTATGGAAGTTTATTCCTGTACAACTTTTCACAACAAAAAACTCGCTTAAAGCTTTGGGACTCGGGTGTCTTTTATTCAGTAGTCTGGAGGCATGAATCTAAAGACTACATCAAAAGATAGTCTGAGTACTGCATCTATTAATAATTTAGTAGTTTCTAAGCAAGGGTCTTTAAGTCTGAAAAGCACCTGATTCTTAAAGGTTACAAAATATTCTGTACCGTAACAGACCATGACTTTTTTGTACTGTTTGATTTTGAACCTCTATGATTTCTGACCAAGCAGGTCTTTTCTACAAACAAAAAGACCACTAAATCAATGCAGAAATCTTGCTTATACTTATTTTGTAGTTCCTGAAAATGGCAAATTTGGGATAATCTTTGAACATAAGTTTTGGTTACTACATTACAGAACAAAAAACATTTAATTCATTAACTTGTCTGATTTTTTTAGACCTGACAAGAGAATCAGGTTTGTAAATTTTACCTAATGGATTTTTTCTTCTTCTTCTTCAATACTCTCCAACCACCCCTGGTGGGGTATCACTGAGAGGGGGGGGGTGCGACGGACTATGGCTACGCGGCCAGAATCCCGGCCTTGAAGGCCTCTACTGTCTGGGCTTTTACTAGCTGGCCCGGCAACTTGTTCCACTCATTTATCGTTCTTGGAAAAAATGAAAATCTAAAACAGTCTGTTTTGGCAGGTATTGCTTGAAATTTATATTCATGACTTCCTCTGGTACGCCTGTGGGCAGGTTTGAGGTATTGTTCCATTTGAATATTAATATGTCCATGAACAATTTTCTGAACCAATCTTTAAGTTAACAACCTGAGCAAGCCTCTATTACCTATACTATAGCACACCTGTAGGAGCACACCTGTCCAGGTAAACACTCCTACCTGCCGCTCACACACCTGTAGTGTTACCTGCACACACCTGTACTGTTTGCTCACCAGTCATGAGTAGACTTTGGTCCTCTTTGATGTTTTTATTTGGGCAATCGAAATTGCAATGTCAGATCGGCTTTCAGATTAACCTCCTTAGTGCTACGTCTCTTCATGGTCACTTCAGTGTTGGTGCAAAAGGACCAACTTAGCAGGGTTAAGGTTAAAGTCCAAACGGAGAACACTTTCAAAAGCTTAATTTTTAACTACTGAAGTGATGATGTATATTGGCTCTCACTATAATACATATTAATACATGTAGTAATACATATGATAGCAATGAGTTACGCCAAAGGGCTGATATGCTAGCCTCCGTAGCAGGCTTATAGAACTGGGGGGTTTGGTGGTCTTCTGCTGTTTTCTGATTAGCCCAGTTCTTAAAAACGGGGGTAATTCAACCAGGCCGGCTATGTCGTCTATATGCAATCAGAAAATAGCACATAAAAGATCCCAAAGACCCTGAAGACCCCCAAAAACCCCAGTTTTTGGCATGCTATGGAGGCTACCTATCTATAAGGAATTCCACTATCCATATAACCCCCTTAGGAAGCCCTGGTGGAGGCTATCACAAGTAGTGCAGTGCTCCAGTTAAGGACCCTCCAAACGCTTTTCCCCAACACACACATCAGAAAAAATGCGTCATAGTTTACAGTTTTGGTTGACAAATGGTTGACAAACTTTTAATTTATAAATTTGAACAAAATACCATGGATATATGACTTGATAAAGAGAGTTGGCAGCCAAAGTGTATGATGAAGTTTAATTATCACTAAACAGTTACTGTACATATAATATATAACCTCCTTGGTCTATCACTCCTTTATCTACAATTAAGCAAAATTTGGAAGTGATAATTGTACAATACAATTTCCTAGAAATAGCTGTGGCTTCACTCTAGGCTGTATATAGCTTAGCTAATGAACGGACCAATGTAGTCTGGTGTGAAGTGTCAAATTCACAGTAAGGTGCAAATTAGAATGACTCACTAGAATCACAGACTATAACCTCATTTGCACTCAGGCAGGCATTCGGCACCGAATGTGTATTCATTATTATTGTAGCCTCCATAGCACATGCCAAAAACTGGGGTTTTGGGGGTCTTCATATAGACAACATAGCTGGCCTGGTTAAACTGGGCTAATCAAAAAACAGCCAAAGACCACCAAACCCCCAGTTCTATAAGCCTGCTACGGAGGCTAATTAGAAAACAGCCGAAGACCACCAAACCCCCAGTTCTATAAGCCTGCTACAGAGGCTAATTCATTATGGGGTTAGGTAACAAGGAAATAACAACAACATTACTGACTTCCTGTGGTTAATTCAGTTTAAGTCATTAAAAAGCAATTTTCCACGAATGACCTCACATCTGTTCCTGATTTATTTATCCATCTGTCAAAGACAAAATGGGGGTGGTCTGGGGCTTAGGCCGACTTTAGACTGACGACAGTATACGATCGCACGACAATCGTTGTGTGCGACGGCTGACTTTAGACACATGACCAGGAAGTGTGGCGGACACCCGCAGCGCAGGAGGGCACGCCGCACGCCAATTCAAAATGGCGAGAGAACCCCTTTTTTTCGGCATGCTGCAGAAGATTGTTTTTAATCTGCTTTTAACTCGTTGTTCTGTGATCTTCTGTGGATGAGACTCCTAGTTTGTGCCCAGCAAAGAAGGGGTATAAGGGAATATACTCCCCGGGTTTGAACCCGGCGTTCAGTGCTGCCGTCGGCCTGGCTATATTGGCCGGGAAAGGTGGATCGGCAGATCGGTTCGTACCGGAGAAGTAGCGATTGGTGGCTGGGGATTGTACTAGACACGTATGGCGATATAAAGTCTTTGGTTTGATGGCATTTAATGATACTGGCGATGAGCTTGGACATGAAATAACACTTGCAGGCTTATTTGCATAAGGCCAATGACCTCCCACTTCCTTCGCCGGCGACGGTTCACTTTAGACGGTGGAAAATCCTACTCGGACCCCCCGCTGAAGGATCGCACGATAGGGTCCGAGGTGGTAGTGACGACGATTCGAGGATTACCGTCGTGCGACTATTTTGATCGTCTTTAGACGGCTGTAAAATACCGTCGCCGGCAACATCTTGACGATAAACATTCGTGCGACTATTGAACCGTCGTCAGTCTAAAGTGCCCCTTAGTATCTTTTGTAAAAAGCACACTGTAAAACAACACCATTACACACTTCAAAACAGTAGAAGAATAACCGTTGACATGGTACGTTGTCAGATGTTGTCCTTACATGTTTGTAAGTTTTGTGTCTGTGTATCTGTATCTAATTTCCTATCCAAAACATTTGTGTACAGTGTACTGCCTACAGCCGCCACTCGACTAAACAAACTCATTTTGCACGTCCCAAAACCAGGACATGTGTTTAGAATTAGCTGGACTGAGAATTTATAGAAGGACATTTTAGCTACATCAAGGAGATGATCATGATCATGAACAATGTAGCTCCTCTTTTTAACGAATAGTATACAGTGTTGTTTGAAATTCAAGTGGACTGAATAGTACACTGTGTTTTGTTTTTGTTGTGCTCTTATCAGACTAGCCTCTACCATAGCCTCCGTAGCAGGCTATAGAACTGGGGGTTTGGTGGTCTAATCGGCTGTTTTTTTTATTAAAAAACGGGGGTAATTCAACCAGGCCGCTATGTTGTCTATATGCAATCAGAAAATAGCACATAAAAGCTCTCAAAGACCCTGAAGACCCCCCAAAACCCCCAGTTTTTGGCATGCTGTGGAGGCTAGCTAATGTCAGACCCGTTACGTTTCGTTACGCTTTGGACTCTACTAAACATATCCGGCTGGTTTTACACGTCAAAATACACCACAAAGACAGTCTTTACCTCCGTGTAAAACCTTGCTGTAACCTTACCTGCACCCCTCGCGATCTGACATGTTGTGCTTCGAGTAGGAAACACGATAAACACAAAGGCAGAACCGCGGAACTTGTTTGCCCCTCTCGGTAAACTGTTGTACCCGGACATATTATATATCACACACAGGTAACGATAGCCTCCGTAGCAGGCTTATAGAACTGGGGGTTTGGTGGTCTTCGGCTGTTTTCTGATCAGCCCAGTTCTAAAACGGGGGTAATTCAACCATGACCTGTCTATATGCAATCAGAAAATAGCACATAAAAGCTCCCAAAGACCCTGAAGACCCCCCAAACCCCAAATTTTTGACATGTTATGGAGGCTAACACAATGCGGGTTTAGAACACACACTTTCACCTAGCTAATATCAGGTTTCATGGCTACACTAGTCCACGCAAAACCGCAATCTCGGCGTGCCTTACCTGTTTTCCTGCGTGTTTCCCCGCCTGTAGAGTTAGGACGTGTGTCGGGCTCAGTTCCTGGTGTATTTTCTGCGCCCTCCCCAGCTCGCCTGATTATCATGTTGCCATGGCGACGGCCCGCGCGGCTCTAGTCCCAAAGGGCAAATAAACGGTGCTAGGCGTGACGTCAGCACTTCAGGTCAGCAGCGTGCGTGCAAGCGGCTGGGTTGTCAAGCAAGAACTACTAGTATTGTTTTCTTTAATGAAATGAAATGACTACCTTTATTGTACATTCATGCCACGACGGGCTAGGTACAGGTCAAGATACTGAGTATGACAGACACATAACAAACGTATATAGAAAATTGGAGACAAAAGATGCACTACTTGACTTAGACATACATACATAAGGAACATACAAGGGTACTATACTAGGCTAATACATAGTGTTCTAGTCACTGAGCTAATGTGAAATCATGGAGGTAGAATGAAGTCTGAGGTCTGAGATATTTTGCTGGCTACATTTATATGCCTTCTACCTTCTACAGATAGAACGCCCTTTAATAGGCAGTGTCAAAATCCACAGGCTACTCTCCAAGCAGAGGTTTCATTTGGGCTTTTATAGCTTCTTTTTGGCGTCTTTTTTGTGCTTTTTTACCGGGCTGCACACAAAAATGCCAGTATAAAAAGCCCGATATAAAAGCCCAAAACGCGCCAAAAATAACCCCCAACCTCTGCTTGGAAAGTAACTTCAGGTCAGGACCTAGCGTGCGTGCAAGCGGTTTGGTTGTCAAGCTACAACTATTGTTTTCTTTAATGTGAGATGAAGTCAAACGTCGAAACATCTTTTTATTATTTTCTATTGTGACTACAATTACTTACACGCAGGGTCAAATTCGCATGCTACTCTCCAAGCAGAGGTTTGGGTTTTGTGTTTTTTGGCGTGTTTTAGGCTCTTTTATTTTATCGGGCTATCTTTTTTTTGCAATGCTAATAGTGCTATCTTTTATTTTACGCCAACCCCATGAAAAAAAAAAAAAGAAAGCACACTGAAATACCTAAAAACACGCCAAAAATAAGGCAAAACTAGGAGAGTAACTAAACTTCAGGTCAGGACCTAGCGTGCGTGCAAGAGGAGGGCTGTTAAGCTAGAACTATTGTTTTCTTTAATGTGAAATGAAGTTTGAAGTCTGAGATCTTTTGTTGGCTACATTTTATATGCCTTCTACAGATAGAACGTCCTTGATAGGTCATGATACATTAGTGCAACTTTCACTCAAAGAAAACGCCGGGTGTCAACATGCTTTGTTCCTTTTTAGGACCTGTCTTGCCATTTCAAATTTGTGAAGTCATTTTCTAAATTTCATGGCCAATTAACCAATATCAGTTTCCCACGGAGCTTTTCCGCGTAGAGTCTTTGAATTCATGTCAAAAAAATTCAGAAACTTCTGAATTGGGAGAAAATCTACTCAGATTCCATTCTGGTTATTTTTAAGACAGGTTCGTTTCGAAGACCGCTAGTCCATCTAAAAGTAGGCTACAAATTTGGGCACTTTGCACAGAGAAAGCTTTAATAGTAACGGGCGTTTCCAGTGTCGGTTGGTGCATGTGAAGGCGCGCCATCTGTCGACAAGTTATGGGATTGCAACATGTACTTACCTGCAATGTGGTTCGAACACTGTAGGTATCGGGTTTCACATTTTCCCGCCATTTTGTGCCGGTATGTGTTTCCATGGGTATAATGCATGGGTTGAATGTGTAGCGGAAGTGCCAAACAAGTTACAGTCTTGCAGCCCCAGAAAATGATTTGCGTGATTGCGTCTGTTGTGGCTGATTGTTACCGCAATAAAACAAAAGTATACGTTGATTGCTTTCTTGTCTGCGTGGGTCTCTGTCGTAGATGTGATTTAATCAAAAGATAAATTCAACAGCTCAAGATAGAAATCATAAAGAGGACATTTCCAAATTTTGAATAAAAATGAAATAAAAAAATGAAAAAGTTAAATTAATAGATTTTTCAATAAAGAATTGGACATTGGGCTTCAATGGGTTTTTCAGCTTGTTAGGAAAGGTATAACGTTACGTTTCTCATGATACACTGAAGCACAACACCCTTCTTTATCATTTCTAAAATTCCGAATTTAATTGTCAAAAACAAGACATAAGAATTTTTTTACACATTTTATATAATGTTAATCATGTACAATGAATCGTAAAAATCAATGATCATAAAACAGCAGAATATTTACTGTCGGTTATTGTCTTAACGTTACATACATGTATATGTAATAATTTTTTTTAAGTCAGCCAACCAATAGCTGCAATGCTGTTGTCTGCTTGGGAAAGTCTGGGTGGGATCGTAGCGGCAGAGTGCTCGACTCGAAATCAAGAGGTCCCGGGTCCGAGTCCTGACATGCCACCGATCTTGGGAAAGGCACTTATCACGACTTTCTTCACTTCGCTCAGGTGAAAATGAGTATTGTATTGTCTCCTGTGTTGGTGGCGGCATTAATATAAGTTGAAAAAACTCGAGTGTGCCGTCACCACGTCTTGTGATTAGATGTTGGAATATAAAAAAATACTGAATAAAAACATTCATTCACCCATGTTCATGATCATTCATTTAATGTGAGTCACGGCCGAGTCAGAGCCAGACCGGTGTTGTTTCGCAGACGCAAGTCAGCCCATCGCGTTCCTGAATGTCCCTAAGTTTTCATCTTAACTCTCCCCCCTCTCACCAATCTCATCGTCTTTGAGGGTGCCTTTCACACTCAGCAAACGTCGCTATGTGAGTATAAAAAGACTTTATATTTGTATTTACTGAATATTGAAAATGTCATGCAGGGTATAATAATTTTTTTCGGATTCTTTTGCACTTTTCAAGAGGTTGCAGTGCGATAGACCAGTGTTTCTTTTTGCTAAATATGTTTTTAAACGTCAATACAAATTGATATTAAAATAAGGTTATCAAAATACTGTTGCTATGTAATATAAGTGCGGTGGCACCAATCTCTCTCTATATATAACGTACTCTCCAATGACACCCGATTTTACGTCCATAGCTATCGGCGTCGCGGCCATTTACGGTCTCAACCGGCGCCAACACTGACGAGTTTTAAAAAAAAAATCGTAATAAAATAATTCGGGCACCTACTATCACAAAATTTTGTTTGCTTCACCACGAATATATTTTCTCTTTGTGTATGAAATTTATGAAAACGAATTTACGTGCGGCCATTTTAGTTACGGTGCCAGGTCTCAACAGGCGTCAACACTGACTAGTCTTTAAAAAATCGTAATAAAATAAGTCGGGCACCTACTATCACAAAATTTTGTTTGCTTCAACACGAATATATTTTCCTCTTGTGTGCAAAATTTCATGTTCGTACGAGGAACGGACTTGGAGTTACATTGTAATGAAAGCACAACAAATCCACGGAAACGGTCATCACATGAGGAGTATTTGTGTATTTTCTTGATATGATTTTTTTTTTCTTTTCGTTCACGAAAACAATTGCGCAGCTATTCCGAAGAAGGAATAAAAAATGGAAAAACAGAAAAAAAGCAGAATGGAACAATGTGGGTGCTTATGAAAATTGACTACAAAATTTCTACCAGTTTTTTTTTCACAGGCGGACACGATTTTTCTTGTAACAATATTAGTGACATTGCATTGTGGTATATAATGATTTATGCAAACGCAACAACCACAACTGCATGCAGTTATCAAACCTCGTGGATCTAGCAATTACGTACACGTGCAAGTATCTAATTGATTGAAAATTGTCTGGTACGAAAAATTGTGAGGTAATTGTGAATTGCTAAATTTGTTTTCGTTTTTTTTTTATTATTGAACTTGGTAAAATGTCGTCAATTAGGTTGACAGGCCGCAACAATACATTTCTTGTTTGGGGCAAATCTTAGAATTAACATGCAATGAGAAAAACGTGCATTCTGACATCAGATTGCAGCTCAGAAGCTATTAAAAATGTACATCAATCGCAAATTCTGCGTTTATTTGTTTGTACGGTGTTTCTATAGATCTTCATACCGAAAATATTTTTAAAAAGTCCATTCATTTTTTTATTCATCGCCTAATACTATGTTTCTTGATTTTTTTATTCCAACATTTAATCACAAGACGTGGTGACGGCACACTCCTGTTTTTGTTTTCAACTTATTCTTATGCCTTTCTTGTTCTTTCGATTTTCACAGTACCAGACAGTGTCGTAATAGCATAAAAACCGCCGTCCCCAAACACACACCATCCACATCCGATGTCGCTGCAAAGTAAACAGGATTCGAACCCCAAACCCAGTGACATGCTGCCAAGCCCACGGGATCCGAACCCCAAACCCAGTGACATGCTGCCAAGCACACGGGATCCGAACCCCAAACCCAGTGACTTGCTGCCAAGCACACGGGATCCGAACCCCAAACCCGATGAGACTGTGCCAAAGACCCGGGAATCGAACCCCACGTACCGCCCAGCTGCGTACATGGAACACTGGCAACCCTGTCGCATGTACACCAGGCAAGCCAACCCGAACTCGGGCGCAGAAAAGGTCCGGAACCCAAGCCCAACGTACCCACCAACCGAACCGATTCACCAGCCGGAGGTACCCTTAGATTCGGCTGGACAAAATCCTCATCCTCTGCCCATTTCTGCCACCAATAGCCAAGACGACAAAACTACTAGTGAAGCTGCTCCAAACGGTGGCAATGCAAAGATTCCACCGCAGTCACCTACATATCAGAATGCCGAGTCTCTACACGCTGCTGCCACACGTCGCGAAAACGACGAAATCGCCACTAAACATGCTACAAATTGTGGCAATGCAGGCAAAGGTGAACCTGCTACAAATTGTGGCAATGAAGGCACCAGGGAACCTGCTACAAATTGTGGCAATGCAGGAAGTCCACCTCCAACATACCAGAATACCGCCTGCAATGATGAGGAAGGAAATCCTTGCCAAGTAACTGGCGATGCTGCTGCTTTGGAACCAGCCAAGCAAGGTTTGTATTTTTATTTTTATTTTATCTAAATGCACAGAAAACATGAAGAAAGCATCTGTTTAGTTTTATGGGTTCGTGTACCTGAAAGAAA